AAGATATTTCAATCTGACTGAATGCAGGGAAGATTTTTGAAATATTCAGGATCAAAAGACATTTGAGATTAGAGGGGATAATTAAAAATAAATATACAAATGCTGGAATAACTATTATTTACTTATAAAAAATTACAATGATACGATTGTGTAAAGATACCTAAAAATATATGTAAGGTACATAAAACTTCAACAAAAAGGCGAACTATAGGTAATGTTAAACACGAGATAAGAAACAATAACCACTCCCATGGACAAAGATGCACTTTTTTTGAGTGTCAATGAATTTAGCACAAAAGTACTAATTGGGGAAACTATTTTTCCATCTCCTTGTGCAGGAAGGAGCGGCATTTTACGTGTTCGTCCGAGCCACGCGAAGGTCTAGCCTTTTGGAGGGCAAAGACAGTACTTTCGTTTCTAAGTTATTTTAAGACCTTCAGTACTGGTCCGGCCCTGGGAATCGAACCCATGACCTTCCACTCTGCAGTCAAGTGCTCTACTGACTGAGCTAATCCTGCAACAGTTGGAACAATGTAAAGTGCAGACACATCCCACACTTTGGATGTACAGTCATCTCTTTCCAAGGTGGACACCTTTAAGACCAACTTGAAGTTTCTGTCTTCGAGAGGTTTCGTCTAATGGAAAGTCAAATGAAGATAGTAAAGAAAGGTTGTGACCAACTCTAGGTGTCTATTTTACCAAGGTGTCCATTGTATAGAGGTGTCTGTAATATAAGGGTGTCCATTGTATAGAGGTGTCCGTTAAGAGAGAGTCAACTGTACCAGATTTTTTTTCTAGGGCCTGTTTACATGGAGGTGAGGGACCCCTAGATAGGTGAGGTAACTTGTGACGAGTCACCCCACCTATCATGTAAACGTGATAAAATTAAAATGAGAGTTTAATATGGACAGACAGGTTACCCCACCTAAGTGGGTTACCTCACCTACCTGGGGTCCCCCGCCTCCATGTCAACAGGCCCTTAGAAAAACCACAAACTTTTCCAACTATTGTGCAACTTACTGGTATGTATAACATGCAAATAACCCGGTGGGGGCTGGCCTCTCAGAGCCCCTAGCCCATTATAGTCTATTCTGTGGCCAATTATAGACCTCATCTTAGTCACTTTCGGGCAAATAAGTAATTTTCGTGTTCCTAACTTAGTTACCTTCTATTTTTACGAATTGGCCCATTTTTTAGATTGAATGAAGAACACTTTACTTTTCATCCACAGTACAAACATTCTGGTACGTTTGCTAACTGTAAATATGAAGAACTGTCTTACCCCAAAAAATCCGAAAATGTACGACCCCATTCTAGTAACTCTGTTGAAAATGCGAACCCATTAGTGTCAGTCCAGTCGTGAAAATGCGACCACATCCAGCGGCACATCCCCATTAGCCTCTTATAAGGAAGTACTCCCCCCCCCCCTCCACCGGCGGCAAATAACTCCTGACAATGATGTATATATTACTTCGTCGTTTGAGCATTGTCAGTGTTGTGGAACAATTTTTTTGCCCTTCACAATGATCTGTTGCTGTAATGACTGTTTGAGTGCAGCCAGCTTTGTTAGTAAAGACTGAAACAAATTCGGGGTCGTAGAACAGAAAAGTGTTGTTTAGGCTTGGATTTTATTCTGTCGGTAGAAGTTCGGGCAGAATAAGCGATTATTAAAACAAGGATAAATTCTCCCAGCAGAATAACAAATTTTTGAATGACATGGACAACAGTTATAAGAAGAATCAAAGTCTAGGAACAAAACGAGTGGAAATACCTTGCGATTATTAGTCAGAACGCGCCCACATGGTTCCATTGTATAGCATACTTTGAGCGGAAGTTGTTTTTGCTGAGTGTAATGAATACCCAATTAGTATTTGTTGGCTACTGGCCAAAATCCGGCCCCTCCATATTTGCGAAAATACACGAGATACGAAGAGCGGAAAAAATTTCTTCTGATACCAAACAGAATCCGAGCAAAATTGAGGTTTCCGACAAGAATAAGAATTTATGGCTGTCACCAAGGTTTCAAGTTGCAGGGAAAATAAAACAAATAGACGGGGAATCAAATAGCTGGGGATTTTTGTATGAAAGTAGCAGGGGGACACGTTTATAGTAGCCGGGGGAAATCCCCGGCCAACGCCTCTCAATGACAGCCCTGATAAATTTTTGCCGGCAGGCAGAATAAGCCTGTTCTGTTTGCAGATGTGGGGGCTTTGGGTACTCTGGTCAAGTTTGGATTAGACCGCGAGCTCCTTCTTTCCTCAGAGTCATGCGCGGCAAGTAAAAAATTAAAATCATACTAATGAACGGTAAAAAGGAGGAGAAATTGGGATGGAAAGAGGGAAAAAGGATAGTTATTCATTGTAATAATTTTTTCTTCGTTCAGGCTGTCGCCCTCGTTCCTCGCGCCTTTGCTGCTCGCCCCTCGCGCGTGCTCTCGATCTACTGTGACTCAAAAGAAACTGCTCGCAGGATAAGTGTGTGCTTTGAAGGTTGGGTAGCTGGCGGTTTTGTGTAGAGACCGCGCAAATGAGCAGCGAAGCCGCGAAGGTGTTTGCTGATTCCGCTCCATTCTCCTCCCTTTCGCTCGAGCTCTCCTCCCCAGCAATACTACTTCCTTCAAAATAATTTTTGGGAATTCTTTGAGTTTCCGTAAAAACTTGAACTAAGCTCTAAGGGAGGATGTATTAGAGGGGTAGGTTTGATAGAGAGCAAACGGAATGATAGGGAGGGGGAGGGGTGGAGAAGAGGAGTCTTTATAGGAAGGGTCATTTTTAGAGAAGGGGCTATGTAGGTATAGGGCCTTGATATAGAAATTGGAGCTTAAGTAAAGAGGGTGGCTAAATTTAGGTATAGATATTTTATAGTATCATGCATCCCATGGTAAAAAATTATCTTTAAATGAAGAATTAATAAATGCGCTTTTCATGATATGATACATTATTTTAAACTTGCTCTTTTTCTCTCGTTTCAGATGTCTAGGCGCGCATATCGAAAAGAAATCTTGCTTGCCGTGTTGTGTGTGATAGTGATCTTGCAGTTGACCAAAAACGTCATCTTTGGAGGAGACAACGACGATCAACGATTCCATTACAGTGTTGTTGGCCAAGAAAATGTTTCCGAAATTCACCCTACCTGTAAAATTGAACGAAACCTTCGAATTATCAGCTATAATATACGGTGTCAATATTTCAACCCGTTTTCTATATGGAACTTTAATGAACGAATCGAACGCCTTGTCGAGGGCATTAAAGACTTTGACATTGCACTTGTTCAAGAAGCATATGTCGTCAACGCGGGATTAGGCGTTATCTCAGAGTGCGCCTCGCGTTTGGTCACTGCAATGTCTAAACATGGATTTCATTATAGAACTTCTATTGCAGATTTTATGGCACCTTACGTGGGAAAAAGTGGCGGAATTGCTATATTTAGCCGTATACCTTTGACAAGAACAACATCCAGGCAATTTCAGAGTTTCTCTTTCTTTCAGTACACAGACTACATGGGCTTCGTTATAGGGGAGTACATCGTAAATTCTCGGCATCTTTATGTCGTTAACACACATCTTGATCCAAGCAGGCCGGCTACAAGAATCATGCAAGCAAAAGAGCTTACTTCTGCAACGAGGAATTACACCATGTCCTCTGCTTATGTTATCTTAGGCGGGGACTTCAACATTGATAATCGCTATCCGACCCTCAGTAATAGCAGTGAAGAATATATAGAACTATTACGAACAATGAAAGAAGCTGGTCTCCGCTCTGTTTTCCCTTCTAGAATAGAAACCAACATTGACGGTGGTAATTATGACGCCATATTTGCAAGCTCGAATATTGCAGTGGTGCGCAAAGAAATCATCAAACTTGAAACCCCTAGCAAGGCACTGGTGTCGGATCATTTTGGGCTTGCAATAGAGTTGAAGCTATTGTGATGAATGGTCGCATTAAATGACTGGCTGTGGTGGACATTGTTACTTGTAAATAAAAAACTAGCAAGAGGAAAGTACAGAACAAAAAAAAAGGACTGTTCCATCACGAAATCTCGAGAGATTATATTGATACACTGGAACCTCCATGTGCGACCACCTCCCATAAAGTAACACCTATCCAACACACCGAAAGTTTCCCAGATAAAGGTGGATTTCCACTGTCGCGTAGTTTTTCCGTGCGTAAGCACGTAAATTTTACGCGCGTAAGTAAAATAGAGGCAAAGTATGACAAGTCACGCGTAAACATAAGAGATGAACTTCGCTCAACTTTTACTTTCTCGCGCGGCCTTTCATACATTGCCTCGGAAAAATTACGCGACGGTGGAAATCAACCCTTAGAGATCCTTAGAGAGCCAGGGGGAATGATTTAGCTGGAGAATATTCCGTGCCGATCAGCTGCCTTTGGATCGTCTAGGATGTCGAGAGGCAAACAAAAAAAAGCACAGCCGCCTACTTTAGCCCTTCCACATCATCACTGGAAGTCTGATAGCAAAAAACTGGATAGGTTGCATGAACGAGCAGTTCGTTATTTATATATATATATATATATATATATATATTTATATCGTATTGGTTACAGCCTTCTATGTGGATCGACGTATCCAGAACATGTTATTTATTGTGTTTAAAGCTATAAACAATATATATCCACCTGAATATTTGAGAGACCTTTTCAGGTTAAGAGACAACATCAAAACTGGCCTGAGAGGGGTCAACAAGCTGCTACTACCGTCGCCTAATACGACAAGAACTCAGGAAAATCCTTGGGGGCTATCACTTGGAACAAGGTTTTACACCTGAAGATCCCAAAGGATATAGTCTTTTAAAAAAGCAGTCCACCAGCTAAGGTTCTAGCTTATTCTCAATAATAGCTATATCTATCATTTAATTAGGCTTTTTATTGTAAATAGCTATATCACGTTATTTATGCCTTAGACTCATATTCGTATATTGAAAATGAGTTTTTGGTTTTCCATTTTACTTCTCTATTATTTTATTTATTTGTTTTTTTTTTCTCGGCTTATTAGCACAAATAATCATTGCTAGAAGTCTAACCAACCTCACCAAACCCGAGATTAAATAAAGCTTCATTCATTCAGGGACTTTTGGCGGCCGAGGCTAATTTCTCCCTCTAGTTCACCTCACGGGAAAGTATCTTCTGCTCTCTTGGTTCATAACAATAGGCTGTGATGCCTTCGAGATGTCTGAAGACACTTTCGTAAGCCCCGTTTCTTGAAAGCTGCTAGATTTTGATCTTAAAATATGGCCGGATTCGAAAGGCTACCGGGAATACCTAGAACGGGGCTCGGGCGACAGGATGAATAGACACCCTGTGGTATGATAAGAACGCCGAGGTTGAACACTATAAAAGAAGTACAGCGTTCAGTACTCGATGGAAAGAAAGTCGACTAAACACGCAAAACGGCGTTTAAACCGGCCGTAGGATACAGAGTGGCTGTGAACTAAAGGTAAGGGAACTTTTTGAATCAATTTTCGCGTTATCATGATTTTTCTTCTTAGCGTCGTAGATTCGAATACATGTGATAAAATTCGAACAAGAAGGGCCCGAATCACATGTAATAAAGCAAGAAATATTGACCTTCGTTATCTTAAAGGTTACTAGTACAGATAGACAAACAAGAAGACTTCATATCTTTAAGATTTTTGCATTCATTTGGCATCAGATAATACACCAATAATTCTAGTATATTCCGACCAAATGACCTCTGAACCCCGAACCCACACATAGTGCGCTTGGGCTGCCTGTGGTTTTTCATTTTTATTAAAATAAAAGAGCAGCATGTCCTTCTCAATTTTGTTCACAGTAGTATTAATATAAAAAGCATTCTTTCCCCAAAGTACTCATTCTTTTTTTTTTTTTTTGCTGTTCACGCTTTAGTGCTAGAACTGTAAAATTGTGTGCTACACTGAACTACTATCTGGTAGCTTGTGTGCGAAATGAAACAGCTTATTATAAAAGTACGGGAGTCTGAAGTAGGCTAATCTTGAGCAATTTCAGGTCGACACCAAGTCAAAACCAACTGCGGAGTTTAATCCAACGTCTTAATGCCTGTCGCCTTTCTTTCCAGCCACCTAGAAGATAACATTGATCAATACATAAAAAAATATTATAAACAAGACAGGATTTTCCGTTTCTTTTCCTTTTTTTCTGTGAAAGAATGTAGAAGGCAGACTCATAAGGCTGCGTAGTGTATGCGGCCACCTGCGTGGGCTAAACACACATGCACACGTTCCCATACATTTCCTCGAAAAGTTACGGCCAAAGAGTACAGGCTCACGTATTTCTTCAACAAAAATTCCGAAAACCCAGTTATAAAACACTTAAAAACCAGGGTACCCTCAGCTAAAAACTAATAAAACCGCGTAAGAGTGATACCGAAGGTGAAGAGATTACTTTTCATGGTCATAAACCAGTACATTGCTTGTGTACAACTTTCACAATCTTTCGATTCAGCACATTGGAGACCTTTTGATTCCAAGGACGACATTCTCTCAATGATGAGTAGTGCGCGCGCGTGAATCAACGTTATTTTGGCGGAAAAAGGTAATAGCCATCGTCATTCTCCTACGCGTTTTAGTGAGTCGTTGCGGCGGAAACAACTAATTAAATGTTAGAAATTTTATCATTTTGCGATCGGAAGAGGGTTTTCTTTTCCAACAAAAATAACCGTACTAATTTTTCTGTTTAAAAACATACAATGAAGCTTTCTGGTTGAATTCTGGGATTGTCTACTTTTTGAGAATAACCCGTACGCGAAAAAAACCTTTAGTTAAATCGCGTCGTCAAATCTAAAGGTCTCTAATTTCGGCTCCCATAAGAGAGAAAAAGTTTATTTAGGACTAGACTTGCCACAAGAAAGCGAGTCAGCGAGGAATTCGCGAGACGAGCGACGTAAACAGCAGAAACCGGAAACGGGCTTTGAGAAAGTCTTATTTAGGACGGGATGATAAACAAAAAAGGAAGATAAACCACGGCTGATCTCATACAGTGTACTCTAGCTGAATGAGGTGTAATAGTCATGAATAGTCTGTATGGAAGTCTCAGGGCTCGAGGAGCAGTTTTTAAAGTGAGGGGGGACGGGCTCCACTTCTTTTGAAGTGGGGGGAGGGGTGCTAAAACTGGGTTGCATCAAAATCTTAACATTTAATCAATGCAAAGAAACAAAAGATAATTCAAATTAATTCGAAGAAAGTGAAATGCAACTTTCCACCAAAACCTGGTGCCGAATCGATATTATTTAATACATTTACAACTCATCAAGCATTCAGTTTAAAGCAGAAGTAATCGGCTCCTGGTTTAAAGTTAGCAACTAAAGGACGTGGGTGACCATGCCCAGCCAAACCCGGGAGCCAAAGTGAGAGAAGGCAACTTCATAATTAATTCTGGCGTGGTTTATTGGCTTACTGTCATGAAACAGCCTCCTCCTCAGGCGCTTCGTTTTTCGCAGGGCAGAGGCGAGCGCGAAACAAGTGACTGGTGATGAACCGCAAGGGACCATGGGAAGGGTACAGACGGCAGACGAAGCGCCGTCTCGCCCGTTGTCTCCTTCCCGCCTTCCTTTGCGCGCACAATTTCATCAAAAGAGAGATGTCTGGGTACGAGGCAGGTTATGAAATCTTACCCTTTTAAAATCGTCCATATTCGTTGTGTCTAGAGGACTTCCAATGAACCCAATATAGTCCACCACTGTTGTTTCTTCGCCTCCTTGATTATTTTGAAAAAATAGCTGAATAGATAAGCAAAAAAAATTTACTTGGTAACAATGAGCTTGTTCACACAGCATGTTGTGTGTAAGTCAAGACTTTGAAGTTGAGAAAGGCGAAACAACAATATAGACAGATTAAGATCCACGTTTACGCCAAACGGCAACAAACGTGGATTTGTACCACGTGACCAAGTTTTTTTTCTTAATTGTCGTTAACTGTTTATTACTTCAACTAAAAAATGAGTAGTTTCACGTCAGTTTTATGCGTAAGTATTGTTCTGGACAGTTTTTATCTCCCTATTTTCTCAGTATTCTGAGGTAAAGTGGGCCAATTGATCGTAGTACCATAAACATAGATTGCAACTCAAATTTGAAGAAATCAGATGAATGAAACAAGCTCTATACAAACAAAAAGAAATAGAAAACAATACTGTACTGTGAAACTAATCAAATAAGTTCGTCATGCAAAAATCGAAAAAATTGTGGCTGGCAATCTTTCGCATTTCCAGTGTCTGGCATGTTGGGTGGTGGAATTTAATTACAAGAGTCCGTTTAATAGAGGTTGGCAACAATAGAAATGACCATTTCAGGTACTTTTTGGGTGTCCGCGTCCCCTTAATAGAGGTGTCCGCTTAATAAAGGTTTCATTTGAAGAAAAAAAGGGAAATACAGTTAATTTGGGGACTTCGGCTACTGTCCGCTTAATAGAAAGTGTCCGCATAATACGGTGTCCGCCCAATACAGGTTTCACTGTGCCTGCTGAGACAATGCATGGCACTTTACTAACCGTCAGACTTGAAACATTTTGAAACTTGACAAACTTCAGGGGAACAATTACGTCCTCTTTTATATCTTCTGGTGTCAACCTGTACAGAATGAAACACAGTGTACCCTTTTTATACAAGTCATATTGAATGGCAAAATTAATTATTAAAATAATAGTTTGATAGTAATAAAAAAGGTGAGGAATGGCAGAGATCACCCCTTTAACTTCGTTTTAGGGCTGCGTTTGTCTCTTGGAAAATGAGTTGACCAATATATTATCAACCTCATTCCCAGAATTTCAAATGCTGTCGTTTCGCTTATTGAAGGGAAGGCCATGTTGCTGTCGGTACTGTACAACTGTATTTGTGATTTTCCCTGTTGCTGTCATAGTTTCAACCCATCTTCATGTCATTAATTGTCAACATTTCATCTGTCCTTAGCTATGTCATTTTTCAAGGCCATGTCGATTGTCGGAATTTTACCCTAACAAGGCCTCTGAAAATACAGTTGAATTATAATAATTTATCCTATTCTTTGTTGTTACCTACATTGCTTGTACGGAATTGAAAAATGAATGTTTATACATTATGGTACAATTCCAATGTTTATGGAAAGATAGTGACATACTCAATTTTATGTAAGGCTTCAAAGCTTTCTGCAGAATCAAAATCCATCGTCTTTGTTTGGTTAGTAAAAAGTTTTACTGTCTTTGGTCCTCTGCCTATCAGACAAAAAAATATAAACACAGCCTGTTAATATACCCCGAAAACAAAAACCTTGCTATTCAACTTGATCTGATCAAAACAACTCACCATCATCAGGTCCCTGTATCTTGAGTGAGTGAAGTTTGACCACCTGGTTAAATGCTATTGACACCAATAACTGAAACAAAGAGACAACAAGCTAAGGATTTTGGTGCAATATTTAAAGTAGCGTGTTCCAGGCTCCGAGATAGTCAGGCCTGCTGAATTGAGAAAGTGCGAACATAAAAATAAAATGGGAGGAAACTGGGGAGAGAAGGGGCAGTTCCTTTTTTTTTTCCGCCCCACCAACTTTTCGCGGACTTTTTACTTTTGCATCTTCCACACTATCTACGAGCCTGGAACAGGCTATAATTATTTAAAGGGAAGTGACAAGGTATTCATTCTGTACAGGTTGACATATAGGCGTAACTATTTTCCTGAAGTTTGTCATGTTTCAAAATGTAGCAAGTTTGATGGTTAGTAAAGTGAAAAGCTAAAATGAGTCTTTGCATCAATTAAATTCCAAAAATAATGGCCCATTTTTAAAAAAATGTTATTTAAGACTATAATTATCTAGGCATTAAAACTGTTTCCTATCATCTATTGCTATGGAAGACAAGGATGGACATGGATTGAAACTTTTTCAAGTTTTAATGTCATGCCTGCAAAAATCAACAAAACATTTATTTTCCCAAGGATAGTGCTCCCTGATGAAATTTGTCTCATATTGCCTTCATAACTGTAACTCTACAGGATCATTTTGTGTATGGGTGAAGGAACAAAGTAATGACTTCAGCATATTCAGGGACAAAAGGACATCTATGTCACTGAGCACAACCAAGATTAACAGAAGACAATTTCATTACAGTCCAGCCAGGTCCAGCGTACCTCCATAGATCTCATTAATGAATTAATTATTTGAAAAATGAACCTGAAATTAATTGAGCCACAACCAGTACCAAATTTGAATCAGCATTACTGCATGTGTGATGAGCAGTGAAATATTTTGGCTACAACTTCTCAGTATTCAGTGCGATTGAAAAATCTTTGAATGGATAAAAAAATTGTTTCAAATGAAGACATTTACATCAAATTCAAAATTACATAACTACCTCACGTGTGAATTCTCTGCCCATGGCATTGTAGACAATAATAAAAATAAAATATGCAGGAAGGCACAGATTCAACTACTGACGGATTCAACTTTCAAATAATAAATTCATCAAAAATGAATGTAAACTTGGGGGATATGCTTGACCTTGCTTAACTGTAATACAATATTCCAAATTTGAGTACAGTGGAACCTTGACATAGCAAACCTCTATATAACAAAGTCCTTGGTACAATGAATGATTTCTTTTCGCCAGTAATAGCAAAATATAATATGAAAAAGAACCTTGGTATATAACAAAACCTTGTTATAGTGAACACATTTTGCTAATCCCTTGGCCGTTTGTTACGTCAAGGTTTCACTGTGCTATCTCATACAAAAATATTGTACCTGTTCATCACAATCACTTTCCAAACAACCTGGACCCTTAGTCAGAGCTTCTGACAGGTGATGGTCATCACTTTCATTTAAACATTCACATCCACTCTTGTTAATAAATATTCCTAGATCCATCTGCAATTCAAAGTGAGAAGTGATACACTATCTACTAAATTATTCATTCCTATAAAGGTTACCTCACATGATGGTATTATGCAATGTTTATAAACAGTCTGTTATGTACTGGAGCAAAAACATGTAAATGTATCTGTTATGGTTCAATTTTTGTTGGTTTCATTTTTTTTGAACCAGTTTAAATTTCAGATACATGTAATCTTTTAAAATTATTTTTATTTTCAATTTCCTTTGTCTTCTAACTCTAGCCTAATCATGACTGATAAAGAGGAAAGCAAATGTGCATTTTGTTTTCCCAATTCAGACCAGGGAATTTGGCTTTTTTTTCCTTTCATAAATTAAGCATACATGTACATATGCATGTGCAAAGGAAAACATTTGTACTTCTCTGGGGTACAGTCATGTAGTCTGAAATGGGAAAACAAAACATACAAGTTGAAAAGGTTAGTTGTTTAACATATCCAGAAAGAACAAGAAAAATCAGCTGGTCGGTGCAAAATTGATTGCAAGATATAGGCCTTGCTATTCTCCAATGACTCCATCATTAATCCTTTTAAATAGGCCTGGATCACAGACATTATGAACCAAGCCAGTTTTAGAAGGATCTAAATGGAGTTGACTATCAACCTGGGTTAAAGAATTTTAACAAAAAATACATCTGATTATCAGTGCCCCTCTCACTTGTATTGAAATGAATTTGATTAATTATGACATTTTGAAGCCTAATTAAAAACCAGTAAATGCAAACGTTTTGTGGTCAGCACTGCTTGTTTTGAAGCACTTTTCCTGGTCCAGTTAAAAAAATAAAGATAATAAATAAACTGTACCAACTTTCCTCACTGCAGCCAATGGCTGAATTGCAGAGGAACCGGTTAAGTGAGATCAGACTTCAGCATGTACATTGTGTAAAGGCGCACTCTTGCAGCCACTTCAGTTCATGTTTTGATCACACCTCGCCCACCCACACCAATGACAGCACAAGTCAGATAGACCATGACATCGGGGCCTACCTCCCCTACTCTTTTCAAACAATGTCACAGGTTCTTTTACGTCCTCTTCCAACTGAAGTACAAGGATGAAGGAGACAAGGCTAATGGCTTAATGTCACCACCCAATGACATGATCATCTGAACTGAGATAGGGGTTTCACAGCTAGCATAATCTCACCAGTTTTTTAAAGACCTTGGTTGATGGTCCCCCTGGTGTTTGAACTTACAACCTCCCGCTCAGCAGACTGGTGCTCTCCGAACAGAGCTAACCAGGCGGCCCTCGGATATAAGCCCTTCCTTTTATAACCCCTCCTAAAACCTCTTACGAAGATGTACAGCTGCATAAGCCCTGGGCTTATAAGCCTCAGCTTATGATATCATAACCATTCACTGTTAAATAAATTTGCTGTAAATTGATCTTTAAATTTTGTGATAATGTTAAAAAAGTTGCGGAAATTAATTATGAGGGGTCCATAAGAAGTACAAGGCAACTGCATATACTGCGCTTACATGTCCCTTGACTCCAACATCATTACTCTCATCTCCAATCCACTTTTTAATTTTCTCTTCAAGCTTCTTTTCATCAGCTCCAGTCATTTCATCAACCTTTACTTTTCCTTTGAAAAACTTGAACGTGGGCATGGCAGACACATTGTTTGCCATCGCTATGTCCTGTGAAAGTTACAGAACCAATATCATATACATGTACACTTTAATAAAAATTCATGTATTCTGCCAGAGAAGCCTAAAAACAAACTAACTGGGCTACTACACAACAAAAACATGAGAACAGTATTTTTACCAGTTTCTGGCCACTTTCACTTGTAACCACTATAACTTCTACCAAGGAAAATTTCTGAATTTTCTTTCAAAAGTAGCACACTTAATTATCTTGAAACTACATAAAGAACTGCTGCTTTCTGCAACTTTCTAGAAAGTTATGAAAGTTTTCTTTCAACAAGTAACTACATTGTAATATCTAGTGTCCAGGCATCTTATCAAGCTTTCACCCAGAAACTAAAAACCACTTTCCCTTGGAAACAACAGCAAGAGCTTATACAGTGCAGGCCACGGCATTGCAGCACTTACAAGCGCATAAATTGCATTCAATATGGTGTATTTCCACACAAAATTCACACAAAAAAACTCGCATGTAAATTTTTACACGAGCTCTTTCACGCAGACCTCTTACACGCAAATTTGTGTGTATTTTTAAGGCGACTGATTTTGCTTGTAAAAATACACGCAAGTTGTGTGTATTTCTTTACAACAGCAAATATGGCTGCTGACATTGTGAAAATATGTCTTTTCGCAGTGAAAAAGAAAAAAAACAACTTACTAGACACTTTGTCTTATTACAAATGTCATGTTTTGTAAATCAACGATTCATGTGATGTAAATTCCTTGGCTGTTGGCTGAAGTGGGGTTTCAAATTACAATACGCTATTTTACATGTTAACTTGGATGCATGTTACTTGCCACGCTGACTGTTGTTTTGAAATAAGTTCAATGTTTTGGACTTCAGTACACTGTTTTTTTAGACTTGCTATGCACTTAAAACATTGTTCGAGTTATCGCGGTTAAAATTATAGAGAAATGATCTGTAGGGAAAAAAAAATTACTTCAAGTTAGCCAGGGTAAAATTACAGTAACTGTGTGAAGGAATTCCAGGGGAAATCGACTTGAGTAAGAGAAATGTTCGAGTTAGGAGTCAGTCAGTTAGTGAGAGTTTGAGCAATCGGGATGACTAGAAGGTTTGTTTTCGCACAATTGGCACTAAATTTTACAGACAACACAAGGTTTCTGTTTTACAACTGCCTTTATAAATTCTAACATTGAATTAGCATCGAGCTTCACGATATGTCCTTAGTTGTTGCTTAAAAATTACAATGCATTACTAAACTTGCATACAATTTCACTGCAAATTTGCATGTTATTTGTCACACGCCGTCTGTTACAACAATCGTTTAAAGTAGTTAGATTTCTTACGTTTTCTGGAAATAGAAGCTTGTGCAAATGATAAAAATGCAGCGTGTTATTTTTTTTTTTTGCTCTTGATAAAGATATAAACACTCTTAGCAGAAAACATAACTTGAAATTGAAGACCTTAAAAGAAAACCTTTCCTTAGCAGGTAAAACTAAAACCAGGGGGCTAAAATTAGTTCTTGCAGTAACGCCAGATTGTTTGCTTTGAGACGCGATTGAGTGATGCCAGCATTGTGAAAGAAAATTACTCAAAGCAGCAAGCTAAATAAAAGTAGGAGATGAAATGCTGTTAACAAAATACCGGTACATGTAGAAGCGACCCGTCACCAAAACAGTGATGCAAATTACAGCGTCACATTATAGAGTAGTTGGTCTATCAAAATAGTTGTGAATTGATATTAAACTGAAACTGATTTTAGTTGAAACCTTTTATAATCTCTGTGAAGTCTACAAAATTAACGAAGTTTCAAGCGAAGCACATGTAAATATTTTAAAAAAATGCTCATTTGGTCTAAAACCTTGGATCAGTTTTAGCCCAGATAACTTAATACTAACAACTGATTTATGCTAACAAAGCCACCTGCACAAGTACAATTATTGCACTCACTCAGCCAGCAATGTAAGGACTCAAGTAAACCAAATACATGCAAATTATGATAATCCGCGTGTAAAATTTTACATGCAAATTTTCTCATGTATTTTTGTGTGTACAAAGCTGATTATTTTGTTTGTTTTTCTGGTGAATTACTGATAATGTCAAGTTCAGAGCAAAAAGGCCATGAAAAAACTAAAGCACGTTTTATGGTTTGAGACTGGCAAATATTTATGCTAATAGCTATGATCTATGAATATGAATCACAATATAGCAAACTATACCAACCTCACATTTATCAACATCGACTTTTAGGAACACAGCACTTGGATACTTTACACTCAAACTGGCAAATTTTGGAGCAATTGACTTGCAAGGCCCACACCTATAGGAAACAAGGATATTGGCAATGAGGAGAGAGAGCAAGAGCAGCACATTCTTGCTGTTAAAGACAAAGGAATGGTAATATATTATGGAACATGGGAGGACAGGCAGTGGGTATTAGGAAGGGGAACTGAAGGGAGATTGGATGTCTGTATAATATCGTTACTTGTAGTAGACTGTACTATGTTTCTTAATTTACCATCCCAGGAACATTAATACTTCAAAGAAGTTTGGCCAAGTTAGTAGAGGTGGTATGTAGTCATCTTTTTGTTTTTTGTTATTGGTTTTGTTTTAAGTTTCTGCCTGGTGGTTATTAAGTAATTGCAATGGTTTTCATCCATTAGCCTTAAATCACTGCCGATAATTAACGCAGAGAGGCTTATTGACAGCTTCGCTTTTAGGCCTGGCCATTTTTATATCATTGGGGTACAAGCATTTATTTTAAAAAAATTGAATAAGATTTTGTAGGAATAATTTTTTTTCAAAACATTATTATGATTGCAAATGAGTTCCGAAAAAAAAAAAACAAAGAAAATCAGTGAAGTCAAGTGTTAAGCTTCTATACCAGGACAAAACGTTTGCAGACTTCAGGGAAACACAGAGGTCTTTTATATTACGCTGAGTCATGTCTAGAAAAAGTTCTGCGAAAGCGTGTAACCTATTTGTACATATTTAAAGGACATTTGTAAGCTCTAACAGCAAAATCTCTTAAGCTGATTTAAAAAAGAACACTTCATCAACAATTAGGAAAGTTTCACCGTGAAGAGAGTGTCCGAATTTATTAGAATTGTAGAAAAAAGTGACCTGTGTACCAGAGGCGTTCTACGAATAACAATTGCAACGACCATGCGATCCTGAAATGCATTATCTGGTCAATAAATTTCACAACGGTAACTCACCATGATGCTGTAAAGTCTACAACGACTAGTTTGGCCCCAGCCTTGGTCATTTCCGATTGATAATGGCCATCATTCATGATCACAATAATGCTGTCTTGTGCAGCCGCCATTTTGTCGAAAGAGGGAAAAGACTGGAAGCTAGCGAAGTAAATAATGACGCGCATGAGCAGTTAAACGCTGGTCAAAGAATCGAAGGCTCGTATGAATGTTGACAAGATGAAACAAGATGTCTTCCTCATCGGTGGTTCCTGTTGTTTTGTGGGGAAGTACACCACCTTCTCATTGCATCTCATGTATTATTACTACCTATGATCAGAAAACAATTGTTACTGGCTCTTCAGATGGACAGCTTGGTGTATGGGACTTAAGGTTCGCGGAAGATGGTGGCATCAAGGTAAGAACTACATGAAAAGCAAATTAATTTTTGATTTTTTGCATAATAAAATTACTTTATATTGTTTTGTGTTTGTTGAAGTATATAGCAAGTAATAGTATATGGCAATTTTGGATGTTGGTTAAGGTTTTATTAAACTGTGTTGCCTGATTACAAGCACATTCTATAAGCACATTTTACAAACCCAAATACACATTAAAATTGAACTCTTTATCTATTTTTGCTGCAGATCATCCCAAGGAACTTAATTTTTGCCCACGCAGCAAAAGTGACAGCACTTGCAAAAGCTACTGATGGATGGGACAATCAGTCAAGCATCATCAGTGCTGCTGACAATGGGTAAGGCTAGTGTAGCTGATACTGCACTGAACTAATAAAAAGAGTAGTAAAACAGGTGGTCCCCGTCACTCACATAGGCGCTTTCCATTCAGCCCAAATTCTGGAAATTTTGGTTAGAAATCAAATGGAACAGACCATTTTGGTTCGGTCCGACCAGAATCTTTGGGATCACCTAGAAGGTTGTACCCAGTGCCGCTCTTCTGTATCCTGCTTACAAGTGCAATAACAATCGCACAGTGGTTTGGGTCAGTCTGTGCAACCGGAATGTATGTTCCATTGGGCCCGTGGAATTTCTGAAATTTCAGACTGGAATTTTTGTTGAATGGAAAGTGCCCATACATGTAAATAATGTGACCACTACTCTGTATCAACCTTGTTCCCAGGGTTCTCTCCAACTTTTCCTTAGTCTCTCTCACTCCAGGGGACATTAGGAGAGGACCCTGGGAGCAAGGTTGTGGACTAATGCATGAAACTTCCACTACTACATGAGAAGATGGAAAATTGTTGTATTTTATTTTAATGCAATAATCCACTGAGTGTGAAACCCAGAAAACCATGAACGCCAGAAATATTTATGAATTATTATGCCAATCAGGTGTGAGAAAACTGTACTATAAACAGCAACATGGTGATTAGTTTGGTTTGAGCTTTGCTTGCATATCTTGACCTTTTTTATGATTCACCACTAACGAAATATTTCAGGTGTTCATGGTTTTCCGATATGAACAATGACATCAGTAAGTGTGTATGGAGAACATTTTCTGGATTTTTCTCAAGTTGTCTTCTCCATGATTTTTTCTCTGTATAGCTCCTTTACATTTGAAGGGTTTTCAGTGGGTTCCTAAGGAGATTCTTATGTTTTAAATGTCTCTTCACATCAGTACTGTCTGCTGTTTTTAAGACACACTCAAATCTTTACATAAACCTCACACTGGGTATGATAATTAATAACTGAATAGGATTTCAAGAGCTGAGACTAGACCAACCAAGTTGCTTGATTTGGCTGATCTATTTTTGCTTCACTCTCAGTTCAATCCAGTGACCTGTGACCTGTCACCTAAGTATTTTATGATTACTTGTTTTGTCAGGGAGCTGTGTTTATGGGATACAGATGATGGCATCTGTATACAAACTAACATCATTCCAGGGATGCATTTAGCTCTTCTGGTAAGAATTAGTATGTGTCAATAATGCAGCTTACAGTACAAAATGTAGTATACAATGTATGTAGCTGTTATAGATTAGAAAAACAACCTTGTTCTTAACCTTTTTGAAGTCTTTTATACCTTTATACACTTTAACTTATGTGCATGTATGATTCTTGTATGTAATAGTAAACTAATCAACCAGTTTCTACATAAAAAAAATAATTCCTACTTGGTTTCAAGGCTTGGGGGATATAAAATCAAAAGCAATATTATTTAATCTTGAGGTTCAGGGATTTATGCATTTCTTTCATTTTATTCCCCTAAGACTGAGAGCCAAGTATGAATGGATGTTAACTCAGTCTACAAATGTAGATATAAATGATTTGGTCAGCTGTCTCAAAAAGAAAATCTGACTTTCTGAACTGTACCATATCCTTCCTGTGCAAAAAATAATTTATTATTAAGAGAAGACACCTGTGCACAGTTGCAAGTGAAAGCTGATCAAACAGGAAAATAGATCGCTCTTTTTTACTATCTGCATGCTTGAAGAAGTGCGAAGTCATTGGCAGGGTAATTTCTTTTTTCATTGGACTGCTCCTGGGCGAGTGAAAGTACTGTAATTAATTTGAAAATTTAAAGAGGGTATAAGTAGTACTCGTATGCATTACTTAAATTTGAAATCTTTGTTTTTGTTAGACATTACCCAGATTGAGTTTTGTAAACATTATCAGGGTGCAACAAAAACAGTGTCCTCTTGCCCCAGACAAGTGGTTTTGATCAGTGGACAAGCAGGTTAATCAAACCTACTTGTCCTTTGGACAAGTAAATCCCCAGGAAATAACTTAAAAGCAAAACATACAGTATACAGCCAGGTTTTTTCAAGCATAAAACAGATCACTTTTCTTGAAAGCAACTTACAGGTTAGAAATGAAAAGAAACAGCACTGGTGCAAGTGACTTGCGATTTATCCACCATTTTATTTCATTTTTGTGCACTGAAAGGGGCCTGGGACTCTTGGGGGGGGGGGGGTAGACTTTTGCATTTCTTAATAGATCCCCTAGGTAACTGTTAGCTCGCACAGGCTATTTTGGAACTGAACTGAACTGCATTTGCTGACTGTAGGCTAGACCTCTTGTTTTTTTTTTTTGGGGGGGGGCTGGTTTTGTGAATGCAGGATTTACATTAATGTATGAGAAGCACATTATTTGGTCTTTCTTGGTGTTAAGTGTGTAATATTAAAAGTTTAGGCTAAATTTTCCTTTCTTGCAGTCTTTTCATGTCACCACTGGCACAGGAAAAGAGTGGCGTGTAGTTTGTTATGGCAGCTACTCTGATATTTATGTTGTTGACGCCTTGTCACTTGAGGTAGATACAAATGTACATGTATAACAGAAGAATGTTTTTTAGGTTTTTCACATAACTCAATGATTAAGCTTAATTTTTACTTTCAAGGCTAGGAGAGTTCAAATGATTTTTGGATGTGCTATGTACCGTTCATAAGACGAGCAAGAGTGTATTATCAGGTTTAAAAACTCAAGGCGAAGCTAAGAATTTTCAAACCAAATAATACATGACTGCGAGTTTTTTGAATGGCTTCAAAATCTCCCATATAGTTCCTTCACCTCATTCTTGCAGTAATATTTAGATTTGGGGTTATTTTGGTGTAAAATATTGGACTTAAACTTTAGCTGTGTATATAGAACACCCATTAAACAATCTTTTGTTTTCTCTTTATGAATTATTAATTCCTTTATGAAGTGCATTTTTTATAGTTTGTTTTAGCGCCTTCACCATCTTATTCAGTATCAGAACATTTGTACAATGCAATGTTTATTGTTGTGTGAACTTTTTGACTTTTCAGGTGTTGTACACATTGCGTTCTCCATCAGCTACAAACTGGATCAGTGCAGCTTGTGTGGTTAGACCTGCTAGAAGACAAGGTGATAAATTTCATTTTAAATATTCACAGTTTTTTAATTTTGTTTGTTACAATCTGTGTGATCATTTTTATTTTCCTAGTGTATTAATTAAAATGTCTTGGTTTAGATAGGGCTGCAATAATATTATTGACAACTTCATGTGAGCGGCTATTTTGTGGGTAAAATCCTTCCTGAGGTTAAACCAGCATTCAACCTAAGTTACCAGGGTAAGAACCCCAGCGAAAAGCTATCCCTTAAATCAGTTGAATACTGATTTAACCTGGGAAAGGATTTTACCCACATTTACATATGACAGATATGGTGCACATGAACCTTTATTTTTATCATACAATATACATATACTGTTACTGTTAGTCTGTAAAAAATGAGTGTATATATCTGTGTAGCAACCTTTTAACTTTTCTATTGACTACTTAAAGAGTTCACTTTTTCCCCTAATTTCTGTGGTCCACAGAGGATGTTGTAGTTGCTGTCTCCCTGTCTGGTATGCTTAACATCTGGATGCTGAAACCATCCGTTGAGTCTAAGGTATGGCAGATTGTGATTGTCTATAAATCTGTGTACTACATTGTACAGTGTACCATTGGTATTTTGTCTTTATGGTATTTGACTAACTATAGAATGCTTAAGTACAGCGCATGCAAGTCTGTATTACAAGATGAACTAATGCTTATGTCAATAATAGAGAGCTTATTATAAGAAAATACAATGGGGATGACAAAACAAGCAATTTAAGCAAAGCAACAACAACCGCATTTTTTGGTAGATTTCTCCACCATCCTTTGCACAACTACAAGGTGTCATGTTTTATAGGAACTGTCAACCATGTGACACTTTGTACATGTACTTAAAGATAATGGCATGATTCATTAATAAGGGCACTTTTACCAGTAATAACATTGTTTCTGCTTTTCTAAAGCACAGTAAACAGCTGCATCATAGATTATGAACTGAAAATGTTTACAATCTCCTTATTACAGTACTGTGATCCCACTTATGAGCAAGAGTTGAAACAAGTAACATTAGGGAACAGTAAAGCTACTGGGATCTGCTGCAATCCTTTCACTCAGAGAAGCATCCTTGTTATATGTCCACAAGAATGGCTGGTATGTTTTTAAACTATTCTCTGAGAACTATTATTACATAACCAGTAATAACCAAAGGTTACACAGTGCAGGCGACGACGATTGGAGGACAAAATAATGCTCTTACTGTGCTCCAACGCTGTGTTTTTTGTAAGTTTCATGTGATAGAAGGTCAAAAAAGGCATGATCAGTTTATGAGAGAAATAAGGTCTGAACATGCGTGATCAGATTGTGTACTGTGCATGGCATTCATTCTTAGAAGTCTAAACAAAGCCTGCTAAATACATGCTGCTCATGTGTAACAGTAACTAGTTGGAGATTAGGATTGTAGGCTCCTCTTGTTGCCTGCAATATTAGATTTTCCTTGCCCTTTATATTTGCTTCTAATTTTCTGCTGTACTTAATAATACATAGTTGATATTCATTAATGTACAATGTCATTGTTGTGGAAGTGGCGGGGGGGTGGGGGGGGGGGACTTAATAAAGCTGGTCCCATTCTTGCTGTCACCTGAGGAAGAAGATAAATGCTTGGGGGCGAGGGGTACAACATTGAAGATAATTTTTAGCACACCTGGCTTTATCGACTGTTACTGTAAGCAGTTGTTCCTTCTTCTATTTTTCCTTTCTCAATAAACTTTGTTCTCTATTTGATTATGTAATTTTTAATGCTGTAACGTAAAACAGTTGAAATATATTTTTTCTATTACAGTAGCATTTCAATAGTTTTCCACCCTTCTTGTTTCTTCTTTTACCAATTCTAGCTGTATGATGCTGGGGACTTTAAGTTCCTAACGACAGTTCCCAGTCCTCCAGGTCAGGTCTGGATGGGAGGAGACTTTGTTGCTGCAGACTGTGTTCTAGTCTGGAGTAGGGTAAGGTCTTCATGTATATGCAGCTGTATGCAATATAATGCCATAAAATGTTACAAAATGAAAGTGTGTACATTTTTTTTCTTAAATTTCACTTCATTTCTTGCCTTTATGAGAGCTTTGTCACAGTGGAATGATAGTATATTATTTTTTTCATAGGATGGTAAAAGCTACTTATACAAGCTTCCCGCATCGTAAGTCATAAGATTTTGGCAGCTTAACATTTTAAGAGAGGCTTTAGGAGAAGAATTTGCCAATTATATTTTCCAATTTTCAAGAGACTTTGATGTGTCTTGGCCTGTTCAAGCTGCAGTACCCTGCAAGCAGAGTATTAACAGTTTGGTGGTGTGATCTGGCATGCAAAACATAGCTTCTGCTGCCAACCATTTCTTTGGTCATCACTTTTTCACACATTTATATCCATGGTCATTGTGCTTCGTCACTTTTAGGGCTTGGTTTTAACGCTTAATGATTATATGGTCAGTAATCTACTTACAATCATATGAATTTTTCTGTCTTTTCACCAGATGCTGTCCTGGGGTTCAAGAGCAGCGCCAGGGTCAGTTTAAACTGCTTTCCTTTTTGTTATTAAATTGGGTCAGTTTTTTTGTCTACCTCTCCGTCAATGAAGACAAAAACTAAAGACCTTAAGATCGAAGTTTTCAGCCACGAACCTCAAACTCGAAGAAGTCACGTGACCAGTGCCTTGTCATCATGTTTGTAGTTTGAGGTTCATGTTTGTATGGCTAGACCACGCTTTAAGAGGTACAATGTAAGCGATTTACCACAATGATTTTTGCACTCAAAGACATCACAATCCCATGTTTAAGAGAAAATACTACTTTTAAGAACTATTTCACTACATAGAAACATAATTTTGAAGAAGATTTCCCTGCCAAAATAGAAGTGAATGAAGGAATGAAAACAAGCATGGCAGCCTCAAGCTACCATTCGCAAAACTTAAGTCCCCAATATGGGCATACACATACGTGAAACCACCAACCGCAAACTGCAGATTGCTGTTTGCAGTAAGATAGCCAAACCTTGATCTTAAGGTCTCTCTCTTTTTAGGGAGCTTAAGCAACAGCCTTTTTTAGCGACCGACATCAACCGGAAGTGGACTTTTTGCATCATTGGGTAGTGGTTTGGTTAAAAGTCTCGGGTAAATCATCTTTATAAGAGAAAAGAAAGTTAGCAATACAAATTTGTTAGTGTCAAGGCATACAAAAAAAAAGAAGGCCTCACTTCCGGTTTACATGCATCGCTCAAAAACGTCTTTGCTTTAGCTCCCTCCCTATTATAACATTTACACATCCTTTCCAGCTCTCCTGCTGATGCAAAATGTTGAACTTACTGTCAACAGGTGCTTCTTTCAAAGATCCAACAGTTACTCAAGTATTTGAGAAGTCAAGTCAACAGGTATCAAAATATTAATAATACATGTAGCTTGAAGGAGACAGAAGGGATATATTTGATGAATGAACTGAAGTGACAACTTCAACATGGATCTTATGTTAATTTTGCCTACACTGCCCAGGTCCTCATCAGGCCCATTATCAGGGCTCCATGATAATGACCTTCACCTAGTGTCAAAAAAGCTTGGATTTTTTTTTTAAATATATATTTTATAAGAATCAAATTAAGTTTTGATAACACTTAAGAAAAAGGTAACACAACGTTTCGATGTCGCCATGACACCTTTATCAACTGACAAAGATAAAAACTAAACACTAATGACCTAATATATGCGGTTTAAAATGACAAAATAAAGAACAAAAGTAGCATATACATGTTTGCAATTGTAAATGAAAATAAACAGTTTTGCCCATATGGAATCTGATATTTGTGTGTTTAGTTTTATAGCCTAGTAAAGAGTTCATTACCATTGTTTTTGTTATTATTGTTTTTGTCATTATTGTTGTTGTTGTTGTTTTTATTATTGAGTACAGCCCCACTCCACCCCCCATAGGACATACCGTGTATATTCGTAAACAGCACAAAAAAGTCATGTGTCAGTTACATGTAAACGCAGGAACAAAAAATGATGTTTCGATGATCCACTTTTGCCTCAGGGTTCTCCAACAGATTTTGATCCCGCTATGTTCTTCTCTTATGGACGAAGAGGACCTTTTTACAAGCTATTACTGAAGGGAGGATCAAATGGAAGGTACATTTGTACAGTGTATCGATTGCTTACTGTCAGTACAAGATGTATTGTTATATTCCTAGACTTTCACTCAACTAAACAGGGACTGCCATTGCCATTGCCATTGCCTCGAGTCCTGATGTTTCCCTCGACTTCGTCTCGGGAAACATCAGGACTCTTGGGAAAACAAAACTAACTGTTTCCCTCGGGATCTGACATTAAGTGTATAATATTATTTAACACGAGGCTCAGTATGTCAACCAAATTATTTTAAGTGAAACAAACATTGAAATTTTTTTTCTGATACTCTATACCTTTTCAACTAGAATGTAGCGTCTGACACTAACAATCCACATTAATCCTTGGCTGTCACTAGTTAAAACATACTTAAGGCGGCTGGTTTTCACTAGCTACTTGGTCAGAGTCGGAGTAGTATCGGAAGAGTAGGACTTTTTAAAACGAGCTAGTGAAAATAGCGTTATGATTCTGCTTTCGACTTCGTCGTTTACGATCAAGTGAAAACTAGGTTGTCGACTTCGTTGCACTTATGACTCTGCTTACGACTTCGATTTTTTATTGTCACAAGGTCACAAGCGCTCTTACGACAGGGGCACCCAGCGGCAATTTTCGGAAAATATCTGTTCGGAAGACGATTTGAGATCTAGAATTTTCGGAACATTTGTTGTAGAATTTCTTGCTTGCTTGCCTCTCCTAGGATTTTCGAACATCTACAAAATGGTATAATTGCCCATTTTTAACGGATTTTGACCCTAAAAAAGGCCACCTAGAATTTTCGAGAGCCTTTTCCTGGCTGAAATTTTCGAGAAGCTAAGTTTTTATCCCTATAATTTTCGAATCACTTGACTTTCAGCTAGGAAATGAGAACAGATGAAAAGTTTTTAGGGGATAAAAATATGCCTACATCTACCGATTAAATAATAAAATACGTTCATCAATGCTATGTTAAGTGGTTTTGAACTATATCCTCGTTGGGTGCCCCTGTTACGACTCCGATTCCGTACATATTAAGACCAAAAAAAGTGTAAGCCCCTACTCATTTTCATTAAATAGCCATCTCAAATAGTTGGAGTTATATAATAACACGTAGTTTATCATGTTAGGAAGTCAGACGTTTTAAAACCTCCTTTCCATAGCTGAACTAGGTCTAATTTTTCTCTGCCTTGAAATCGTAGTGTGAGTATCTGGAAGCTTAACGATGTCATCTCAAAATCAGTCAAAGCCTTTGATGCCAGTGCTCATGGTAAGGCTACTTTGGCTTTTTGCGCCTTTGCGCTGCCGTTGCGTCTATGTACGGTAGACTCTATTATTTTTATCAATGAGAACGTCTAATTTTGTGTCTGACACTGACTGAAAACTTCATTGATATTGCTTTGATATGAGAGAGCCTTAGATTTGAGGACTAGGACGAGTACGGGATTTAACTTAAAGTTTTTTCGCGTATTCTCGAAAAATATTCAATCCAGAGAGCTTCATTGTACTATTTTTCACCTGAGAAATTAGTGAGGTTATCTTGATTGGAGAAGGCTCAGCCCTTTCGCGGTCGCAGAATGATTAAACTTCTAAAATTTGATAACCTGTTCCCGCCACTACGACATTCTCGCTAAGACTCGTAGTAGAATGACTACTACTATCACTTTTTCCCGCCAAAATGACGCTGGTTCACGCGTGAGCACTGCTTAGTATTGGGAAAATCTCTTACTCGTAGTTGTCTTCGTCTCAGAATCTAAAGCTCTTTGATGAAGCATTTCAGAAAACCGGTATAAATGTTACCAAAAGCCCCTACCCAGTCCACCCCTCCCCCAAAAGAGACTATTATCTGCTGTATCTTATCAAACATCCTCATCAAATGAAATGATCACAGAACTGACTAGAAATGCTTGTACTTCAAAAGTTTCTCATTATAATCAATGAGGCTATTGGTTATTTTGAAGTTGCAGGTTGGGTCAATGTTTTGTCTCAAAATGGACAATTTCGGGGAAGCGATCACTTATTATTGGGTTATGCAAAAATGATTGGTCAAGATCCCCCCACCCCTCCCCCTATAAAAATAATAAAACGGTTCCATATTGCAATTCTGTACAACACCCAACCTCGTCCCCAGGGCTTTTCCTTTAAAAAAATGGGTGGGGCGGGAAAAGGCCCTGGCATCGGCTGGTCACGTGCACAGCCTAAATATTCCGAGAAGCTAATTTATATGCAACCCGCTGGCTTTGCGCTGACAGAAGGGAGTAACAACCGCCCCACCCATTTTTCATGGGAAAAGCCGTGGGGACGAGGTTGGTACAACACCGTCGACTCAGACTACGGTCACACGGCACTGGACGAATTTTCGACCTGTTGAAAATTCGTTTGTTTAGGTGTTTCGTTCACACGGAGCCTCCTTAACCGTATGAAAATTTAGACACCTAGCGGTTCAAAGTTCCGTTTAAACAGAACGGTCAAATTTTTCAGCCGGTCGAAAATTCGTCCGGTGCGTCGAAATGGCCGATACAAGGTACTTTGGGTTGGGGTGGATTTTCCAGAAGCCGGTTGCGTGAGAAGGTTACACCCTTGAGTAAGTGCTAATAATGAACTTACGCAACCGGACGGGAGAGACAGGGGAGGAAAGAAGACGGCAAACCTTGTGTGACAAGCGTGACAATAATTTTGTTTGAAACAACTTTTCGCCAGACTTTTTCTTTAAAGAGATCTCTTTGTAAAGGACCAGAAAACATTGGTGTTAAGTGAAGATCACGACAAAACACGCAAGTAATAGCCATGTAGCGTTTGTGACACACAAGTGTTTTGCCGTCGTCTTCTTCCTGTCGTCCTGTTGTGTAAACTCACTATTATGTCAGATGGTTAGTTAGGCGTCTAATGCAGGGCTCGAGGACAAGAAGAAGTCTGGGACAAGAAGATTTTCTTGCTCTGGGCAACTAACTTCTAAACGTACTCTTGCCCAATGGGTAACGGCCCAGGCAAGCCGTCCTCTAACAAATTCTTCAACTAAGACAAGCAAGAAATGACCCTGGGCAAGAAAAATGTGAGAGCTGCTTGTCCAAACGAAATGCTTAAATTTTTCCGAGCCCGGCTAATGTATGTCGGTTGCAGTTGTACGAAAGTGTTAGAAAGGAATTGGGATCCAGTGCTTTATCTTTTATTTCAGATTTGCAATGTACATTTTTTGAATAATTTATCTTACCAACCATTTCTATCTCGATGTCTTAACTTACAGCAGGTATTGTGCCAGTGGTTTCCTGTAGTTACGCCGACTGCTGGGAAATGAGAGTCAAACCTTGTGGATTGATTGACTCACTGGTAAGAATGTTGATATTTTCACGCTTCACGTTTCGGGCTTCTTGTTGGGTCGTTGAAACCGCTGGACACAAAACCTCAACTGGGTCGGTGTTATATTGTCACAACCCACCTCATAATGACCAATACTTGACCTTTCCTCCTTTGTTTGTAAGTATTTAACTGGCTTGTGTGGTTCTTTCTTTACAGGATGATCTTGGAGGAGCTATTCCAGTTAGCACCTCACTGTATTTACCAGCTCAAGACTGCATTGTGTGTGGACGTGAGGATGGTTCCATTGTTATCATTTCTGCCGCCAGAGCAGCTATTGTTCAGTTACTAAAGCTTCCAGGCTCAGGTACAATACATTTTCATCGAACAGCTACTTGATCAATGTACACGACCTTTTGATTTGTCCACCATTAGCGCTTCAGAATTTCAAGCCAGCTTTATCCCCATGAACGCTCACTCTCTCTCTTCTAACTTTGCGGCGGATGCGTGGAAAACTAGTGATCACGAGGGTTTGTTCGTTGCTTGTAGTGTAATAGCATGTTTTACACCACAATGATGCACTGGGTCAAGCAAAAACCCTGCTAATCATTCACTGAACTCTTACATGATCCTCACATTTTTTCTGTTCTTTTATCAGGGTGGCCTACGCATCGAGTTCTGTTAGGACACAGAGGTCGAGTAACCTGTCTGCTGTACCCTCATGAAGAGTATCCTCGCTATGACAGGGAGTTTCTGGTTTCAGGTGGAGCTGATTTCTCCGTGAAACTCTGGGATATTTTCACGGGTGACCTGTTGTATACGTTTTCAACGCACGGTGGAGAAGTTCTTCGACTAAGCTGCACACCACCTGACTGCAGTGTAAGTGTACTGCAAAAACTACTGCGAATTCAAGTCATGTTAATTAATCTTTGTGGCGTAGTGATTACATTCCTTGTGAACCAATTATGCATGTAGCTCTCAAAGGTGTTGGCACATACATGTAAAAGACTCCATCTACTGTATGACCCATTGCCGCGAGAAACTTTGAATTACTGTTAGCAGTTGAAATGATTAGAGATTAAGGATTAAAACCATCCGCTAGTGTAAGTCACAGTCTGCTCGTATTTTGATTTTGTCTTGTAGAATCGTGTCCAGGCCTGCATCTGCTCTGTTGCCCAGGACCACTCGGTTGCGTTGTTGGGACTGCGCGAGCGGAAGTGCATCATGCTGGCTTCTCTTCACGCATTTCCGGTGGAAACTATAAAATGGCGAGCTTTGGATGACTTTTTAGTTGTTGGGTGTACTGATGGTTCAGTGTACGTGTGGCAAATGGAGACAGGTAATTTTTTATTCCCTGAGTTTGACCCGCACTCGAGAGATTCATATCCAAGGAACAATTGACTGATAACTGGCCTCTCTTACTGTTTGACTTTAAGTGCTATTGTCAACGTTTCTATAGTTTAAAATAATGCGAGTTTGTTACGTCTTTCTGAATCTTGTAGGGAAGAAATTGACACTGAATTAAAAACGAGCGATGAACGACGTGAGAAGTCATGACCGATGACCTAAAACTGGCTTTACGACCTTGACCTCGGAGGGTCGTGACTTCGAATCTCATCTTGCGCTCGGAACTTTTTCTGAGCTTTCCGATGTTAGAGATAACTGTTTCTTCTAAAATTTTGCAAAATTTAATGTTGTACAATTTTTCATTCGCTGGTAAAAAAAGAGTAACAGTTGCGTCGTGCTTGCAGGACATCTGGATCGATGCGTGAGTGGTCAGGTTGCCATAAACATCTTAGCAGCGTGCGATGAGGAGAAAAAATCCACGTCAGTTAGTGTTCCTTCCAAATCCAAAAGCACCTTCGGACGTAGAATCAGCCACATCGCTTCTAACCTACCGACTAGCGCCGCCTCGGCTGCAGTGAAGAAACTAAGAAAGAGCAGTCATCAGTATACAGCGAGTCCCTCGGCGTCACCAAAACTATCCAGTAAGTGGAGTAGAGAGGTTAGTGGCGCAGTTATAGAGCTGTGCTGGAGGCGTTAGACTTGCAATCCAGAGGACTTGAGAGCTATCCTAGTGAACCGCTAGCTAGATTTGTTCTTGATAGCCCCTAGTTCATCTCCTCGGCAATGTTTGTAAATAGCTAAGTGGTTTACCTCCAGCCAGTTGGAATTTTTTTTTCATGTTTACTGCAAAATTTGATTTTATCCTTACATGTTTTAGTGGGCCGCAACAGCCTCCTCCTCAGGCGCTTCGTTTTTCGCTTTGTAGAGGCGAGCGACTGGTAATGAACCGCAAGGGACCATGGGGAGGGTACAGACGGCTCTCCTTCCCGCCTTCCTTTGCGCGCACATTTTTATCGAGAGAGAGACGTCTGGGCACGAGGCAGGGGCCGCAATGTAAACTACTTGGTTACACCAGTAATTGTGCTACCCCACTCACCCTTTTTACTTCGTTTTCGTAAGAAGAAGGGTATTATCTGTTCCATTTCGAGCCATTTACAAGCGGAAAATGGGTTATTCTTTTCATGAGATGTGAAATATAGTAACTTTGAAAACGAGGATTTTATCAGTGTGTAAAAGAGCACTAAGGTTACGTTCCTTCATCTCAACCCAACGTTGAAAGAAGCCCAAGAGGTGTGCCCTAGCTACTGTCATTGGGTTCGCTGGCTTGGGTAGAGATGGTCTTAGTATTAATTAGTAAGTAGTCATCAAGGCACTCAGCCAAGGACGTACACGGGTCGGAATTGCGAGTGATTCTTTTCTGTTGCAGGAAGGGCCAGGTAGCGATGGCGATGGTAGCTCACCCAATTTTGTGTATGTGTGTATGTTTGATTTGTAGGTGAAGGTTATGGCGAGATGGTTACTGGAGGCCCACTCAAAGTTATGTCCACAAAGTGTGGAGCGAGAGATCCTGAAATTCAAGTCCTTATGTTCGACATTGAAGTACTTATTTGCAATTTGTTGACTGAGGAAAATCCTCTTCTTGTTGGTAACTGCTTTTTATTGATGATTTGTTATCCTTCTTACCCATTTAACTGTTAACCCATTAAACCCTAATATCAAAATTTGAATTCTCATTTGTTGCCCCTATTCATTTCCTACAGAAGTAGTGGGGAGAAGTTGATAAATTATCAAGCAAATTCATCTTGTGTGACCATGTCCTCAATTCTCATGACCAAACGAGCGCGAATGTAAACTAACATTGAAAAACACGTGAAAGCACACCTCAAGGGTAATGACGTCATTACTAATGTCATCTCCGCCAATCAGCATTTCGTATCGAGTTTTTCGATGCAGATCTTCAAATTCCAGAGATAGTTGCAAACTCTCCTCCTTTTCCCGCCCTGCCACCAGAGCGCCCCGGAGAGCTTGCTCGCAGGCTATCACCTCTGGCCATCGTCCGAAAATCATTTTAATTCCTGAATCACTGGTTTTACTTTCTGATAGCATTGGCTGATAATGTGATTCTTCTTTGAAGCTAAACCCTCGGGAAAACCTGACGCTTCAAAGATGGCTGTGGGAGGAAAGCGACGTAAACCCTCGGCGCCACAACAGACAAGGAGTGGATCACCACAGAAATCGTCTTCGGAACAAACCCACAAAAAGTCTGCGTTTGTGAATGAAACACATTTCGTAGCTCAACTAATGATCTCCTGCCTTCACTCCTGGGATCTGGATCCTAACATGGACGAGGTCTGCGTCGAAAGACTGGGTCTGCTAAAACCGGTTAAACCGGTCTCGTTTGGGTTACTTACTCGTGGAAACAGGCTCTCGTTAATGCTACCCGGGTGGTATGGGGAAGATTCTGGTGAAAGCAATGTTGATGTTAGCACTGCCTTGAAAAAACTTGCCGGTGACCAAGCCATGCTAGTGGACAGTGAAGATAAACTGCAGCATTCTTCGGCGCACATTGTTCCGGCTCTGAGATATTGTTTTCAATCGCGTTGGCAGCTCTCCTCGGCGTTAACAACCTTACATCTTGTAGGTCTTGTGTCAGTGGCAAACACACTGATGAGTATGAACCAGATCAGTTTTGTTCCCAAAGAAAAGCGACTTGCGTTGTTAACAAACACAGCTTTAGATATTCCGTCAAGCTCTTCGAGCTACGATGAGAATGGACAGCCACCCGGCATGAGTGACGTGGACATACAACTTGCCATGAATCACCGCGCGCATATTAAAGCCGGGTGGAGTCAGCTGGCCGCATTGCACTGCTGTCTTTTGGCTGATATTCTCAAGGTGTCCTCTTATAAACCGCCACTGTTGCATATTTTGGCGAGGAGGTGGCAGGACCGATGCCTTGAGGTATTTAATAGGGAGGTTAAAGTTAAAGCAACCTCGATACGATGTCGACGGCTACAAAAACATCACTAAAAAGTGAACTCGCGCCGTTTCAAACTTTATTGCTCTCATTCGAGCTCGTTCAATTTGACAAATTTTTACGAATTTTTCTGGATTCGACATCTAAGGGACTGTATTTCTGTATTTAAGTTAGCAAAAAAAAAGAAACCTTCCCAGAAAACTTGCAACTAGGAAGTTTCATGTCGTAATCGTGCAACGACGGCAAAGAAATGAACGAAAAAGGCGTGCCGCACGTGCAAACTTGTTCTTTTTGCTAATCTCAAACTATTGTGTTTTTGCCGTCCTCGTTGCCATCCCCTTCGTTTGTGCTGATTCTCCTAATTATTGTGATATCGCCATTATGTTATAATCATCACTGCCACGGAACTGTAAGCAACATATATTACCTTGTAAAAATACTTTATGTGCATGCTAGAGTACCTCACATTCTATTTTCTCTTCTATTTTATTTTTGCATGCTTTAATAACTCTATCAGAAACATCACTGACGCTGTTAATGGTGAAATTACCGAAGTATCGCTTTGAGGCGGGCCCTCTCTATGCACCTTCGCTTATTTTTTCATTGATTTTTATCATTATAAGATGGCCGCCTGAACCTGTCCTGGTATGTAAAGAGTGTACTATAACAAACTCTCTGGCTGACATCAACTTATTAATGCCTTAGTGCATCTAGGACTTCAGAAAGTCTTCTCTGCCATTCTCCTCCTGGTAGACCACTTCGAGAAAGCAGTAATACTCGCTGTAGTTTCGGTAAAATATTGTTCTCCATGGTCACGTTGTTGTCTTTACACTCCTTTTTTTGAGAACCAGAGAGACTGTACTTTCCCTGGCGTCTACCTATCGACCGTTCCGGCCAAAACACACGAGACTGCCCTAATGGGTAGGTCACAGTCTCATTAGGAAGATAGGGGGACTAGTACTACCTTAATTCTAGCCTGTGCCAGGCTCTCGGATAGTAGAGACGGCGCGAAAACAAGCCAAGCGAAAATAAGACGCGCGTAATCTGGGGAAGGATGTTGAGGCGGGAAAAGGAAGACCCTCCCTGCACGTTTCTGACTTCCGTGAACTCTCACGATCTCTGCACATTACTATCTTGTAGCCTGCGTAATCCTGTCATGTTTACTTCAGTGACATTTTGTTTCGTCAGGTCCGTGAAGCAGCCCAGGCTGTTCTCTTGGCTGAACTGCGAAGGATTGGGTTTGAGGGCCGCAAAAGGGTGGTGGATACCTGGGCCCCACAGTTACCCAAGACACTGGACACCCAGAGGGTAGGCGAGGATAAGCCAGACAAATCTGATGCAGCCACACCCACTCCTCCCAGTCCCCTTTTGGGATTTGGTGAGTACATCGATGTCTTAAGCCCTGCTCATATTCGTGCTTTCATTCGTTTCCTCGTTTTGCCCTTTCAAGTACTGCTAGATACGTACCTTCCTTACAAATTACTTGGTCTCTAAATAACGCGCAACGATTTCCAATGAATGTTTCAACTGTCTTTCTCTTCAATTCAGAGCGTAGTGGTGAGGTTCAAGGAGTTGATGACGAAGTCCTCTTCCCACCTGATGACGTCAGCACCGTTTTGACCAGCGTCAAGAAGTTGCTCCAGTATGACATGCGCCGTCGCCAAGCAACTGCCATCGTGCTGATGGGTGTCATTGGCGCCGAGTTTCAGCGTGAAATTGAGGTTTACTCGAGTCGCGCTGGTGAGAAAAAAATGAGTACGAGCTCTCGACGCATTGACAAACTGAGTGAAACCCCAGGTAAAAACGCACGTAAAGATCTTCGCGGATGTAAGTGCTGTTTTTCTATTAAGTCTTTGCTTGTTAACAAGGAATATTAATTATTGAATTAATTAATAACAAATTATGATAATTTATGTCGCTGACAAATCAGATAATGCTTCCTCCAATAACTTAATATTAATAGCTTGCTAATTGACGACAGTTCATATCATAGCGGCATTTGAGGGCATTTTCGCCCTTAGCTATTGAAATGTCATTTGTGATTAATTCGTCAGCATCATCGCATTTCAGAGCCACTAGTTGTCTTCCCAGTTGCCTTTCAACGGCATATTGATTGTGTTCACGGGGTTGTGCCAGTATCGTAGAGGAGTGATTGTGTTGGGATGTGCCAGTATCGCAGGGTTATTCAGTGCCAAGAACGGGCGGAGGGAAAAAGAAAAGTTGTTTTCCGTCGTAGAAACAGCTAGTTTGCCTTCGTCCTTCTTCAATGTTCACGATTTGTGCGCCATGAATCAGTGAACCGGAACTGGAACAACTTAGTCGAGAATAAAGCGACAGGAACTAGTCCTTTCCCGCATTCTTGTAAACAAAGGCACCAACTCGAGGCTTGGGTGAACAAACTATAGTGCTTTGTATGAAAGTGTCCATCCGAGCCTGGTCCTCATTTCTTTATGTTTGCTCACTGGCGCGGAATGCGGGAAAGGTCTATAGAACGTGCGTTATTACTTTACCACTCAGTGATCGATTTTAAGTCACAGGCGAGTTAGCGCTTATTCATTCGACAACATAATTAAACCAACGAATACTACTCTTACTGTTTAGTCAACCAATCAAAAAGCGAGACCTTATCTTTCATCCCCCTCATTATATTCATGAGATAAAGAGAAAAACGCTATGACGTCATCGGCGTTAGCGTATTCGACTTCATGCTAACGAGATTTCATTTCGAAAAGAGGATAATTCAGTCCCCACTATACTACTCTTGTAATGTTGAAAAATGAATTGTACTTGACAGGTGGTGAAGCAATCATGGATTACACGACAGTGCGTCACACAGGCAAAGCTCTCATGTATCTCTTGCTTAAGCCTCCTTCGTCTCAGATTACAGCTCACACATCCGTCAGGCGGGCAGCCATTGATCTTATTGGTCGAGGCTTTACGCTATGGGAACCTTATATGGATGTGTCAGCGGTATTGATTGCTTTGTTAGAGCTTTCCGCTGATAGCAAGAACCGCGACCTCACCTTCAGAAAAGGTTTACCGCTGTCTCCATCAGCAGATACTCACCGCTCAGCAAGGCATGCACTGTCACTCATTGCTACAGCTCGACCTTCGGTCTTCATCGCAACTATTGCAAAGGAGGTAAAAAAAATTATCAAACAGTTACCAGTTGCCGGGTTTAAAGTAATTTTGGACACGTTTTAGCTCGGTCATGGCTCGTTTCTAATCGGTCGAGATGTGGAAAGCTAGCAATTATAAACCGTCAATTGGCATTCACAAAGCCGCAGAATGAGACCGTCAGACGGCGTCTCATCTGTATTCTCCTAATTTATAACTGCATTTTATAATTCCACTGTTTTTGAAAATTTACAGAATTAATGTGAATAAATCTACTTTCCAGTTATTTACTTGAAAGCCATGCACTTGATCGTTCAGATTGACCGGCCAACTGTCCGGACAAATGTTGGTCGGGACATTGTCCGTTTACCAGCCGTCATTTTGAGCCCTGAGTTACCATATGAGAATAAAAATTTATGAATTTCACATCACTTTCGAAACCGTACAATTAAGCTACAAAATTGATGAGAGGTTTTTAAGTATGCAAAACAAACGGTGCACATTAACGAATGGCGGTAGAACTGTTTAGTGCTGAAAAAGCAAGTCCCGGTACTGGTTACATCAATACCCAACAAAAACTAAGCTTTTGCGTTTAAATGAGCGGGTTCAATTTTTACATAACCTGAGATTAGGTCCAATTTGGCCGTTCTCGTACATTCTCTCTTACGTAGCCGAAATCCTGATCTCACGGTTACTTCTATACAGTTAAAGAAAATCGGATGATCGGTTTTTATTTGTTTACAAATTTAAGACATTGATTTTGTTGTTTTGTAGCATGCCTACATTTGTTGTATATCTCTACTTTTGAGTGCTACCCATAATATGTGTGCTAGAGACAAACTTTTCCCCATTTTTTCAATGTTGATGTTTCTTATAAAACTAGGTAGCCCGCAGTGTTGCAGCGGCGTCAGCCATCTCCTTTAACCAGCCTTCCCCAGCAGCCATTGCGGTATACAGTCACGTTCGTCACCAACCTTCACAGAACGCAGAAACACAGAGCACGTCGATTTTAAACCGAGCCAAGCAGGAGATACTAAGAATTATTGACCTGATGGTAGAAAAGACACAGCAGGACGTTGTTGACCTTCTTACAGATGTATGTACCTTTTTACCAATCTTGCACGTTATCTCCTTGCTCGGTAGAATTATTTCCCCTTGAGCTGCGTATTCCGTAATCCAAAACTATTAGGTAGTGGGTACAAGCTTTCAGTGTTACGATTTCTGGGATGGTTTTGGGTGCACAAGCGTCACTTATGGTTGGTTAATGGTTGCCTTGAATCCAATCGACTAATCATGACTAACGCCTATCTACCCAAATGATCCCAGAAATCACTGCGCCCAACTTGAACCCATTCTCCTTGGAGGGAAGAAGGCGAATTGGGAAGTAACAGCAAATAAGGTTAGGTAGCTATTATCAGGCGCGTAAACACCCTTTACACGGAAACCAACTCAAGGCGGCACTAAATACCCCCTGCCCACCTCCGCAGTTGGATCATGTGTTCGATGAAAGAGGCAGTGGTCCAAAGGTTTGTCATCTAAAAAGCGAAATGTTCATCTGATTATCAATGACAAGTTAATTTTCTGATTAGGTTGTGGATATCGTGATTTACTGCTTGGATCAAAGGCAACTGAAAGATAAAGGAATGACAGAGCTATTCCCTGGGCTTTGTAGGTGAGGCTTATGGACTAAGATCCCGTTTACACGGGTCCGAACGGAGTTGTGAACGGACAATGACTTGCACGGATCCGGCTTTTGTTTACTCGAGACCTGCACAACCGTGCAAGTGTTTGGACGACAAACAGTATTGCAGTCTTCTGGGAAACTGCCCACCTACCCCTCTCACAAGCCAACATTAACACTTTCTTCTCACTTAGGGCAAAATGGTGGCTCAGGGGAGGGGTAGGTGGGTAGTTTCCCAGAAACGTATAAACCCAAAATTTATCCATTCGAAAGTTTGTCTGGACCCGTGAAAACGGGGTTCGAGTCTCTTGTTCTATATGCATACTAATTGTAACAGTTCATGCCGGTTCTGTGATGGTGTTATTGATATTTTTGATAGGGTTTATAGTGGGAAATGATAGTGTACTGTATGCATTTCGTCCTCACAGATTCAACATGGTCAGCTACTCGCCCCAGTCCCGCCGCCTTGCCGTTGGTGCAAAGAATGGACAGCTTGCCCTGTATGATCTGCGATCGTCACGATGCCAGGTGAAAAAATTCTGTTATAAATTAACCTGAGACTAGGTTCTGTTTGAGAAATCGACAGTAATTTTCCATTATCTATACTCTTATCGACCATAAAAACGACGTTGAATGGTCGATTTAAGAATTGATTCATGCTCAGCGTGCTTATATCGAGTTATGGATTCACGCAGGAAGTGTGGCAAGCACGAGGGAAGCACTTAATTTGAGTGTCAATATATTTAGCACGAAAGTACTAATTGGGGACACTATTTTTACGTCTCCTACTGGAGATGGGATCGCCGTTTTACGCTGTCATCTGAGCCACGCGAAGGTTCAACAATTTTAAGGTCAAGGGCAGAAACCTTAATTTCTCAGTTATCTTAGTATCTTGAGTATTGGTCCGGTCCCGGGAATCGAACGCGCGACCTCCCGCCCTGCAGTCAAGCGCTCTACCGACTGAGCTAATCCTTTCGCGGTTTAAACTCTACTCTCCGCGTAGCAACTCTAGCTTCTTCATTGCGGAATATGGGTTATTCTAATCCGAGATAATGGTGGCTAAGTAGGCCGGTAACTGCCAAAACCTATCACTATTGAGAGACTTCAGCTACAGTGAAGCTACATTTAGACGAAAGATTTTTCCTCGTCGAGGCATAGTTTAATAGTCGTTACTGAAATCACTGGAAAGTCAACCTCTATTTGCGTGTCACAAACTGGTAGAATAAAGCGAAGTTATTGCTTGAAACGCAGTAGTTTTGTCAAGTTCCCACTCTCAGATGATTGAATACTGGGCATCCTATTCGGAGATCAGGGCAGGAGAAGTCCTTCTAAAGTTGCATTTCGTTTCCTTTACAGATGGTGTCAGCTCATTCCTCTCAGGTAACGGCGTTGTCTTTCTCACCAGACGATCGCGTTCTTGCTTCCTACAGCTTCGGGGACTCCAAGATCTGCTTCTGGCAGGTAATGAAAAGGACTGAAAACACTGAATACGGGGAAGGGAGGGCCAGGGGGGCGTTTCGCTCTTTGTTCGCAACTCGTAATAATTAGTATCCACGTGTAGTGTCTTCCAAATAGACCATTGCCAAATCCAGACCTTGAGATAAGGTGGGGCGGGGGGCGGTCTCCATAAAATTTTTTTCCGCCCTTGGTGCCTCAGTTTGGTCTAAAAATAAGGGGGACCGCCCCCTCCCCCCCCGGGCGCCAACCTGGGATCCGAAACTGTAGACCCTTCCACGATCTTTTCAACTTTTGACTGGGACTAGTTAGCAAAAATCTGTCAACACGGCTGGAAGGACAAGGGGGGTACTCCCTTATATAAGTCGTATAGGTATGCGCTGCCCCAAAGGGTGGGGTTTTTGGGCCTTTTTGGTGTGAAAACGGGTATACACTTTGCCGATTTTGGTCTGGAATCGGGTGTGGTTTTCGAGGGAACTACGGGAGCGTATGAATGAAGTTGTCGTTTCAACTCCAAATGAATAAGAACGAAATAGAAATATGCGAATTCAAAATGCATTTGAAAAATTTTTTGTTTGCGCTCTAATCTAAGTAATGATGACATAACCTCTGCCTAAAGGCCAGGTATGAAAACGGGTATGGAGTTTAGAGGTCTGGTCTGAAAACAGGTGTGGAAAATGAGATAACCGGGCAGCACAGCCCGACGAAGAATTCCCAGGAGCAACCCCACTTCCGCCCCTCCCCCCTTGGGGTGTAAAACCAATACATTTTCCAAGTCTGACAGCGATTTGTTGATTTGTTGAAAAATATGGAAGAGATATCTCGTGCAAAGTCGCAGAATGTTACAGACATTTGTATGGTGGGGGCCAAGTTTGTGCCCCTGACCATACAATCGTCTGTAAAATTCTGCGATTTTGTGAAGCAATATCTTCGCTCACTTTTTACGTATCACCTGTTCATTTTGTAAAATGTCCTTATTTTCAAGGCGCTCTTTCCAGTAGTGTCGATGGATATTCGCTTACTGGTCTTAATTAAAAGTTGAAAAAACCCGTCGAAGGGTTTGTTACCGATTATATTAAAGGAAGGGCGCGTTTCAGTGAACAAGAAAATTCCGAGCGATCCATGCATTTATACTTTGCCTTGGCTTCTCCTAAATTTCTAGAACAGAAGGACAACCTCGCGATGAAACCGTAAACTTCCATTTTTTTCCGAGCAATTTGTGAATTTAATGGTTTGAGTTTCAAAAGTCGACTTTTTTTTGGATTGTGTTTCAGAATCTTTTTCTAGCAAATTTCAATTTGTTCTCGTTTATACATTTACGGTATTTTGATCGAATAAAAATCGCCCTCATGTGGTGAGAAATGTAACTAGTCACATGAGAGTCCTACAGCACTTTCTTTTTAACCGTTGCAGACTGGTTCGTCGCTGTTTGGCATGTTGGGATCGTCTCTTAAATGTGTGCGATCTTACACCACGGTTTCCCCGTCGCCGAAAATGTCTCCTGCTCTATTGAAGCTTATACGGCTGGTGTGGATTAATCACAAGAATGTCATTCTACTTATGGCAGATGGGACGGAATACAAGTATACTGTTTAGGGGAAACGATACATTCTGTTCAAAGAACAACTTGTAACGATTTTACTAGGTCTTAAAACGCATGCCAGCAAGAGAGACTCGTTTTACATAAGAATTTCGTTAAATGGACATTGCAAAGGATTTTATTCTGGAGGTGTTCTTCCGGTGAATTAAGTAACTGTGGACTCTACACAAGACGTTTGGAGTACATTATTGATGGGAAAATGGAAGCGTTCAAAATAAAATAAATTATGTGATTGAAACTCGTTTGTTGATTTCTTTTCAATGAACAGTAACGCTTTCGAAGAAAAAAAGTTTTTCATTGCTTTTTTTTTTAAATGTGTGATTTAAGTTACATGATCAGTTCAACCTGTTTTAGGTTTCATTTTACAGGGAAAGGGGCTTCCTTCTTCTTCGCGATTGTTCCAACTCATTACTTTGTCAAGTGAAGACGAACTCTGCTGACGGTCGAATTCCACGTTCATAATGAGAAGGAACATTTTATAGTGGCTTGTTTACGTTTTCCTCAAAACGTGAAACTAAATCCTGTTTTGCAGAAGGATACGATGTAATCCAGCACACATTATTTTCACCATTAAAATTCTGAAAATACGACATTTACTTACACCATAAGTTCTTCAGTTCAGTTCAAGAGGGACGATAGTAAGTGGCGGAAATATGTGTGTTTCTCTCAAAATACAGTTACAAAAATGAATAACATAGTAAAGTCGTAATTGATAAAGGTCTGTAATTTTATTTTATAAATATTTTGGCAGGATTTTTCTTGGTAAATATAGCTCTATAACCATTATAAATTTAATTAACTAATGATAATTACAAAATGTCTGATTTTTCTTTCCAAAAGCTTAAGAAAATAGTCCCTGGTCATTTCTATTAAATTGCATGAAAACCTCTTTAGCATGTATAATCTCAATCTTCAGATCCTGTGACCTGCTGTTACAAGTCAACACTGTCAATAACACAGAAGGAAGCTCTTCTCGCAGGGTGCCCGAGAATGAGATTTGCAAAATTTCTGTTCACATTTCAGCTGATACATGCACAAACTGTAGCTCCCTGATCTGTTATACCACTTATGTGCCTTCAGTATAATGATTTCCATTTCTCTGGGGTGTTTCACTGATTCAAAGCAATGTTCCACTGAATCATCCATGTTTACTTTGCTTGGGCTGCAAAAAAAGCAAGAGGATTGATAATAAACATAGGGGCAAGCTAATAATGTTGTTGTTTTAATCTGATGTTAATTTATGACACTGTATGTAAACTACAATGTAGAGAAGAAATAAAATCACACCTCAGTCATAGCGGGGTACAAAAGCCCATGCTCAACTTGTAAACAACTTTTTGGGCTAGACTATTATTTACCTCATATCTTTTTAAACAGATGGTGACAACGAAACAACTCGACCACAACCAGTTGCAAAAGTAGTTGAGACACTGTACCATATTTTGGCTTAAATGGCGCATTCATGATCTTGTGCTTGTGATCCCCCCTCCACCCCTTATCAAAGTTGCTAGCAATACACGACTATGCATGCTCAAAACTTGGAGGGAGGAGGGAGGTCAGTATTATACATGTATCTCACAGTCTTGCGACTAGCAGCGATTTGAAGCTAGAAAGTTTGTTTTTTGTCGGAATGTCTCAACATTTTTGCAACTGGTTGTACATGTAGCTTCAAATCAATGGCATTTCAGGATCAAATGTGTTAAAACTATTTTCAGTCAAATGACAAATATATTTGGATACCCTCACATCTTGAAAGTAGTTCAATGGTTTTGTGCTCCAGAAAACATTAGAAGGCACTACATGTTTTATGACTGTTTTTCTCTCAAAGATCCCAATTGAAGGCACTGTTTGAACAGAATCGACTGGCAAAGGGACAAGTCATAATCACTTGTTACTACAGTCCACATGTTCATGTCAGCCAGATGGTGGTCTAACCATTTGCAAAGCAAATTAAGGAAAAACCTCTGCACTCAGTAATTACTATCAGGGGCGTATCCAGGATTGTTCTTAGGAGGGTCGCACCACTAAGGAAAGGTGCAACTGACTGGTGACATAAATAAGTTTTAATACAGAATACCAGTTGTATTAGAAAGCCGCACGTCATCTCAGGGGGGGTTTGCATACGCCCTGCACTCTCCCCCTAGATCTGCCCCTGACTATCATCTGCCACTCTGTAGACTGTAATATCCAGCCCAGATCATACCACCACATGTAGTTTTTAAACGGCAGAGATTTTAAGAGTCTGACCTTTTCTTTATGCTTTTTGCTGGCTCTCCTTGAGCTGCCGGAAACTCTTCTGTTGCCATACACTTTACGCGCTTCTTCCCTCTCCTCTGCTGTGATGGCATGGTCATCAAGCATAACCAAGCTTGGAAGATGGCTTATAACATAACACCTGCAAAAAAACAACATGGTAGAATCACTCTTCTTTCATTGATAAATAACAAGAAAATAAGCTTGCCCAAAGAGATGGAAGGCTGCCTTGCAAAAAAGAAAAAAAAATAGGTGACCCCTTACATAACATAACATAATGTTAATTTTTATTAGATTCCTATAAACAGAAATGGTATTACTTTTAAACTATTAGAATTATAATTCTAATAATTTATAAAATAATCAAATAAATAGATAGTATTGAACAATAAAAAGTAATAATAGGAATCTCTATTTCCCATGCTTATGTTTCATGGAATACCATAAAATTCCGAAAATAAGCCCCTCCCTGTATAAGCCCAACTACAAGCTAGAAAAAAATAAATAAATAAAAAAATAAAAAAAATAAACAAATAAACAAATAAAAAAAATAAAAAATAAAAAAATAAAAATAAAAAAAAAACTACAAGCTAGCCCAATCAACTTTGAAATGCAAATTTCCCTCTGTACATAAGCCCCTCGCAAAGGGCCTTTGAAAAATATAAGCCCCAGGGCTTATTTTTGGAATTTTACGGTAAGTTTCTCGAAGTTGAAATGCTTAATTCATAGACATAGTAGCCACGCTTTTTACCCATATGGATCAATATTGTTTAAAAGACAAGAAAAGACCGCAGGAAAAGACAGCACAAAAGACGGTTTTCCATTGTTTGCTTAAAAGACCATGTCAAGCAAAATTTTGTCTTGAAGGACACAATGCTTTAAGGCACAGCAAACCCCTGAAAAAAAAACCTCCGTCTGAAACCCAATGAATGTTTTTGTTAGACTACCATATACATACCTCTATATCTGCCTGGATTTATGAAAACTGGGTCAGCAAACATTTTGTAGATTGTTATAACTTCCCCTGTCTTAGCTTGTTTTATACTGTGTTGTTTGCTTATGTCATTTTATTTTATCTAACTTTTTTTGGAGTGGGGTGGGGGCATTGTTTTGTGGTTAGGGATTTGTGTGAAAGTGGCCATGGAGGGAATTTCATGAATTTGCATTCTTTCTACCCCCCACCCCTCTCCCCTCTCTCTCTCTCTGTCTCCTTCCCTAAAGGGTGGTTTTCTGTCCCTACCCAGAATTCTCTATTACAAGTGACAGTTATTTGAAATCAATGCACCTAAAGCTGGTTTCTTAATTGCCCATGGCACAATGTTGTGTGATGTGGGAAGGGGGAATTATCACTGGTTACATTGTGAGCAATAACATTTTATAAACTGAAATTTGGTATTCCTACCCCTAAACTTTGTCACTCTCACAATAATTTGAGGAAAAAAATAAAGAAAAATAAATATTTTTTGACATTACCTGTAATCCTTGTACTGGTGATACGTGCCACCATTAAAATAACTTGGAGCTGCTTCATTATTCATCATGCTGAAGTATTTCAGGTTTGGAAAGCACATGGCTACAGTCTCTATAAATGCGCTCAAATTTGTAATTTTATTGTGGTTTACCCACAAAATGTGAAGTGACCCAATTACAGGAAATTTAACATGACTAGTGAGATTATTGTAATCCAGAATTAATGTATTCAGATTGTCAGTGTCTCTCAAAAACTTGAAGTCCCTATGATTGGTTATTAAGGAAAACAGGTGCTAAATGAAAAGGAATTAAAAGGCCATACTACAGAATGGAAAAAGGCAGACTCAAGCAAACGAGGAACAACATGGCTAGAACTTAACCCAGCTTCTGTTGCACCTAAGAGTACTGCTACATGTTCTTTCTCCTCAACTTGATGCTAGCTACCTAGTTCATGCAAAAATATCCCCAGAAAAGGGCTGTCATGGTGGGGGATGGGAATTTCCCCTGGCTGCCATGAACATGAGCCTATTTGCATCTGCCTCGTCCCCAGTCGCTCGCAATCACTGGGGGAAATTTGAGTTAATTATTAGGGAAAGAGGGGACAAAGGGAGTTCCTTCCCATCACTCCCCACTCGCACTCTACGCTCGTTCCCATCATCCCTCTCTTGCGCTTCTCACTTGTCTTGCGTGCTCACAAGTTCCCCAATCCCCACTAATAGACTTGGAAAAGCCAGTGAAGGAGGCAGTATTTGCTTGGAAAATATAGGATAGGATTTGTGACAATTTCGTTGAAAAACAACATCCTTAAGTACTCACATGGAGGCTCAAGGGATGTCTGACTACTGCACATGTGAATCCCTTTATTAAACCCCCACCCCTTAGAATTACTAGCTTGGCTTTGAGTTCTGATACCAAACATTTGAATTTCCTGCAATGATGTAACTAAGAGCATCAACTCTTCAATTAAAAGTAATAATATTCTTGATCACAAATGACTAGCAATTTGTACAAAATCGCTCAAACCTCTGTGTAAGGATTTACTGGCAGACTAGTATTTATTTAAAAAGGTAAATCAGTGTGTGAAATGTTCTGAAAACTACCTTCCTTCTCCTTAAGTCTTCAACTTCAGAGCATTATACGACAATGTTCGCTTAAGGTGGCTGAACACAGTTTTGTGGGCGGTCAGCAGTAAATTGCGTGACAGTGAGTGTTTTAATTAGACAAACAAACATGGCAGCAAAAAAGCAGTGGTACACAGAGGACAATTTCTCAAAATCTAGTCATTAATATTTTGTGATATTTGGCAGAATTTTTACTTTTATCGTATTCTAAATAATGAGAACTTTAAAATGAAAGTTGAACAGACGAATTTTGTTACACATTTAATAATTACAGTACAATAATATATCACTGATTATCTAAAACCCGCCTGTTAAAATTTGGTCAAATAAGTTTCAAATGGTAATGATTAACTATAGTAAGCTGTGTGCAAGTCTATAGGAACATCTAATGAGCGAATTTTATGTAAACTGAGCAAAAGTGGAATTTTAGGTTGTATTCAATCGTTCATGCTGCCATGGAAACTAGTAAAACTGAAATTTTACCTGGCAATCAAAATCTTTCATCAGTATATTTTTCACTTGCCAAGTTTCAGCTTGTGAGCTGCAACCTTTCCCTTGTCATGATTTGGTAAATGAATACACTCACAAACTGCCAAAACTGTGTTCAGCCACCTTAAATTATTAACACCGGCCAGTCTGGGAGATTTCGGCACATCCCAATTTATTCATAATGCATGTAACAATCTTATACAGTCCCTATTTCATGCTACTTCAAATGAACAGAGTCGAAACATGTATGCATAATAAATATATGGGGCTGAGCAGAAATCTTACTCTTTACAGACAACGATTTAGTCTTCAATATCACTACAGGCAGAAACTGCACAAGGATACGACAAATTGTTGTGGCTCAAATCCAACGCTGTAATGTCACCGAAGCTCAACTTTTTGTGCCAGCCTTCGGGAAGTTCACTCAGATCTCGATAAGCTAGAGAAATTCTTCCAGGGTCGCTAGGATCAGGCCAACTTATTGAATTCATCGTAAAAAATTCGCTGTGGCATGCCACTTCACCGGTGTTTAGCGCACGTCCGCACGTCTCGACTATAAATTGCGTCACTCTTTTTTTTACACGGGTAGTGTTAGTATCAAATTTCTGAGTGTGCTAAAAATAACTTTAGCACAAGTGATAGAAAAAAGCACATGATTTTAGGGAGTATTTAATACTTTTCTCATAAGCATTAACAGTCACGTTGTAAATTGATAAAATCTTCTTTCGGCAATTCTTCTGACAAGTTAACCCACCCTACCTCCACTGCCTTTTACTTTTTTTCAACTTCTTTTTTATTTGAGCCCGCAATCATGACCATGAAAGAAATAAACAACCGCCATTTTCAAAATGGCTACCGTAGATGAGCTAAAAAACGGTAAGAAAGTGCTGATTTATTTTGGCAGATTTCCCATTGTTCATCGGTTATTGAAGGCACAGATTTCCTTTATTATCTTTCTCATCAGTTTTAAAAGAAACTTTAGAAAACAGAGGCGTTCTTGGTCAAATTCGAGCTCGAATTCGAGCGGAAGTCTTCAGCGCATTGGATGATCAGGTTGGAAGCTATAAACTATCATAAGAGCCAGAAGAACATGGACATGAAGTACATGAAGTTAAGCTCTCGTGAATTAAATAAGTCTTTTTGCTATTTATAGACTGAAGCAAGACCGACACTATCAAATGAGAATCTTCTCATTAATGAATTGATCAGAGAATACTTGACGTTCAACAAGTACAAATACACAGAATCTGTGCTTTTAGCAGGTACATTGAACACTTATGTCTTGTTTTTTGCGAGTTCATTTTTTTCTCCAAGTGACTGAATGCTAATAGTGATAATTATAATAATAATACCCATCAAATTGTTTCCTATCCTAGAAAGCCTGGACCCTCATAAATCATAAACTAACCTAAAACCTGGACCAAATGTCTTAATTCTTTTCTTAAACTCTTCACTTCAAGTATACCCACCTTTTATTAGGCAGCCTAGGTCTCCCAAGTGCTTTAACTGTTGGAACACATTTCATTTTACAGTATTGTTCCATTTGTTCCCTTCCCCACAGAAACAGGCCAGCCTAAGGATCCAATGGACAGACAGTTTCTTGTTCAGGAGCTTAACATCACAGAAGACCAGACTGCATCACCTTCCATGTAAAGTGAAAAATGTTTCTTTTCTGAACGCAATAAGTTGTTTCAAGACTGTTACTCGGCTCATTGCTATAATTCTCCTGCAAAGCTAAATGCTGTGAGAAAAATATTTTTTCTCCTTCTACATATTTGTTTGTGGAGGTGTGTGCGGAAGAGCGGTTAACACCTCGAACTCTGGATATGGAGCTCTAGGGTTCAAGCCACACCCTTCATGTTGTTTCCTTAGACAAGGAACTTTACTCAACTTTGTCTCTCTTCACCCAGATGTAGTAATGGGTACCAGTGACAAACTGCTGGGGGGTAACCCTGCGATGGACTAGCATCCCATCCAGGGGGGAGTAGCAATACTCCTAGGCTTGCTTCTTGCTACGGAAACCGGAAATAAGCTCTGGCCGTGTGGGCCTTTGACTCGTGTGCGCCTTTACCTTACCTTAAAGTTTTACATATTTTGTAGAGAGCTCAATACTACCCTAATGAAATCCTCAGCGTGTCCTATGTTTCTAGTTTAATGCAAAAACTGAGATTTTCTAGTTGCCCAAAGCCAAAGGCAAGTTACGATGGGACCCTGCTGGACCACATACTTATACCTGTGTTGAGATTCCAGGAAGAATCAATCCATCTTTCTTTCTCCCACTTTTTTCTCCTTCTCCTAAATGTATGTTACATTTACATTTTATCATTTTTACATATGATCACTCTAATGGACAAAGTTTTCTTGTAGGCCCCTTTTGTATGAGATGTTGGCTTATTTTCTCCAAGGGGGCCACAGAGAGGGAAGAAGATTGAGAGGTTTGAGAGATGAGTCGCTACAACCTCGTACTGCAGGTAATATACAGTCATAAATACCTCAATCAGTGTCCCCCTCAGCCTTAAGAAATGGGTTGTATAGAGTTTCAAACATCTTGCTTGAACCCATAAGCATCCCAGCCCACACTTATTAGACTTATTATGGGCTGGAATCCCCTTTTCCAAGTCCTTATAAGTGTAACACTGTTATGAAACTGCCACCATGACACTTAAACACTCGTCAAGAGAGAATAATGTCTAGCCCTAAGAATATGTGCATTTCACAAAAGTCTTTTTAGACCAATAATATTAAACACTTAAATTAATTGGAAGTTGGTTTCCGGAGGGATCTGCAAAGTTTTATTCAGTGTTGTCAAGAGAGAATTCAATAGTCGCCATTACAATAGTCCACATTTTTTGCTTTTGATCGGGAGTCAACAGGACTTGATGCAAACGTCCCATTCACATATTGCAGCCAATGCCCTAAGATTTCCTCTCTGTCCCATGATTCTCTCTTGCACTTGTACAACAGTGAACAAACAGTGAACATAGTCTATAGGTGCATTCCATTGGGATGATCAAAGCTGTCATCAAGAGCCGGGGGCCGGGGATTTCCCCCCGGCTACTATGAATGTGGTCCCTGGCTTCTTTCATTGGAAAAAGGAAGAAAAGTAGAAGTAAAAGAAACTCCTAGCTGTTTGATTCACCGTCCAGTTGTTGTATTTACCCGGCAACTTGAAATCTTAGTGACATCCCTGGATGATCAGGATCAGTTGATCCTAGTGATCCTGGATTACTGATCGTGATCTGGATCATCTCAAAGGAATGCATGTACCCTATATGTAATACCTCCCATAGAGCCTGGAGTACCTTGGGCAATGGGGTACCAATATAATAATCAAATGCCCCTCCCAAAGAAGAAAAGTCTTCATAACTTTTATTGGGATTATATTAAAAGAAAATCCTTTTGTTTTTCCTCTTAAGAGTAGTTCCTACCTCATGAAGTACACATTTTCATGTTGCATATCTGCATTATTGTTCTCTGTCTTCCCTCAATCAAAGATTTGCTTTCATTTTTATGCTTTCGAAGGTGATCTTTATCTGTAAATATGTTTGCATCAAACACTGCAATGTTGATACCCCTCAAAATAAATTATTATTTCTTCTTACCATTTTTTGTCTGTATTTTTTCTTTTAACAGAATTGCGACAGAGAAGACATCCAGATGGGTTGCTGCACACACAGGACAGAGGTACTCTTTACTCTTTATTTTCATAGAAGATGTGCTTTTTTAACCTGCATACTAGCATTGATTTCCTTTCCAAAACACAAGAAGGCAGGTGGTGTAATATGCAGTTTTGAAGTTCTTTCTTGCACCCCATGATCTCCCACCCCAGGAAATGACTGCTATGAAGGCTTGTGCTGAGAGCATCTTTTATTTTTTGAAAGGTTGATGGGTTGTCAGGACTCCTATTACAATCCTGGCACATGTATTGTCATTCTAGAGAACTACTTCCTTTCTTTTGACTTTGTTGACTTGCATAATATTATGTACACATCACGTAACCAGCATTAGAAAAAAAGAAAAGCTAAACTAATGGGGTTTATTTAGGGTTTATTTAGTGTGACTGTAGTAATGCAGGGGTGACACAGCCAGAGGAAGGTCAGGAAATAACAGTCTTTTAAAGGTCAAGAAACAGCCAGGGAAATTTTTGAAAAGTCAAGTAGCATCTTAAGAGGGACCCCTCCCTAAAAGCAACACCCACATGTAGACTGTGGTCAGTCCTCACTGCCCTTCAGTTATCTTCTTTGACTCTCTTTAATATGGACAGCTCTCAGCTCTAAGATGGTCGTCACTTAGGCCCAGTTTAGACGCCGAACTTTTTATAAGCCGAACCTAACAAATTGAATTATGTACAGGAAAAGTTCGGCGTCTGAATCGATAAGGAACGCCTATTTCAATTTTGGAACGGTTCAGTCGTTCTTCCCTCCTTGCCCGGGCCGGGAATTACAACTTTGGAACGACTTTGATTCAAAAGTCAAACTTTCCATACGCCGAACCTAATGCATAAATTAACATAACGTATTTGGCAAGAAGTTTAACTCAGAGAGCATTTTTCTCCTTTTAATTTTAATTCGGCTGGAAGTAAGATCGGTTTCTTAATCAATTAACCTGGTCTAAATAATTTGGGTCGGCTTTAATTCAAAGTGGGTGCGGTTCAGGAAAAGTCCGGCGTCTGTACCTGTCCTTAGAGCCTGTCACAATATAACCTGCCATCAGGCGGTCCTTCTTTCACGCTCCCCAGAAAAGAAAAGAAGAAAAGAACGCCTGATCGCAAGTTAGTCCCAGTGCTGCAACACCGCACTGTCAAGTTTAAGAGAGTTGACTGAGTGTATTCTATGTTCTTTTTTTTCTGTCACTTGTCAAGCAGATGAAAGAAGACTTCATTCAAGCTTTGGTCATGACCCTGAACCTGTTATTGTACGAGGAGGGAGAAGATGACGCCCGATAAATAATGCCCATTAAGACAAAAAAAGAGAACGACTCGAGAAAAGCAGCAAGTATTAGGCAAAATTGTAGGATATTCAATTCTGTGAACTTTATTCCTTGCTTTTCTAAAAGCACCAATAATTTGCTCTCACAATAGTAATAAAATGTTGCATATTTTTCTGTATATGTAGCAAGTAACACCCTTCGAGAAGTTTGTAACATTGGCTAATAGTCGGTCTAAGAACGAATACTATAGTAACTGAACATTCCAGTGCAACTGTTAAATTTAGTGGACCATCTCTCAGCCAGCAACAAAGAAGTTTCATTTTATTTCAGCGGTGTTCAAGAACGCTTTAGCATGATAAAAAAGAGTACCAAGTTTTAGAATGATATGTTGGATATTAAAGAGGATATGGTTCAAGACATACTCTGGTTCAATATCACAGGGTCTTTTTTTTTCGCGGGTGGCGGGATGCTTCGGTGTGGGCCAAAGATATGTGGAAACCGCGCATGAAAAGTCTCTGTCACCCAGCGTAGGTTCCGCAAAGTTGTAGCTAAAGATTTTACAGACGAAAGTGATTCATCACTTTGAAACTTGACAAGTTTACTTGTTGTAAGGCGCTCTTTCTTCTTTGGTTTTTTGCTCAATACTCCTTGTCAAAAGTTGGAAAAACCCTTTGAAGGGACTATGTGTGATGCGTCTATCCTATGTCGAAAACTTTGGCAAATGTCAGCCACTGTTTATAACAGAAAGGGTAGATCTTTTTCTTTCATGGCAATGGACAGCTCTCATTCCAAGCAGATTAATACGGCAATTTCAAGAGTACAAAAACAAAACCGAAACCGAAACCATCAATACACCCAAACGTTCAATTTGTGCATAAGAAGCCGAGTTGCACAGGTCTCCCATACAGCAGCTAAAGTCGCATTTCACAACATCCGGGCCTTCACATGTTGGATTATATGCTGTACATAGCTTGTTTGAAGTACATCTTTTACGGAACAGTTTACTGGAGTAAGTGTTTTCTTCCTCCTTGCTCAGTTTTAGACATTCGTCGTATATGTGCGGGCACGTGTGTGCTTGCTGGTAAGACTCGCAGTGCGACCATGAAACATCGCTAGTGCATATGTAGCACTTCACGCCTGTGAAAGACACCAGAGACTAGTTTATCTTATTCTAGTGTAAGATATGGTTATACACAGGTTTTTTCAGGTCTGTATACTTTGGTTTGCTTTTACTTTTAATTAGCCTTCGCTGTAGACGCTACAACAAGTGGGCGCGCGGATACTCTGCTACTGCACGGTCACGCTGAGACTATGGGCCTGTTTATGTGAGGTAAGCCAACCCGCCGTGCTAGGGCTGGCTTGGATCATCAATCAATCAATCAATCAATCGTTTATTTATCCACGTAACGTCTAGTGAGCTAAAAAGCTCGTTCCAAATACGTACGTGTTAACATGAAATTGTCGTATAATCTAGAGAATTAAAAATATATTATATATATACAACAACTAGATTTAACATAAAAACTAAAATGTACAACTGTAAATTTCACTATATAAGAATTAAGATGGCTAAAAATTGCTATGAAGACGTATGAATAGATAAAAGCATGTATTGTTTCCTCATAAAATTTGTGTTGTGTTTACATGGAAAGGCTGACCCGCCTTCTCATATAAACACAATGACAATTTTAAAGGAGCCGAGACAGCCCGGTAAAGTGGGCCAGCCCTGCTAACCAGGCTGGCTCATCTCATAGAAACAGGTTCCATAGATTTAGTGCGTTCTCGAGAACAAGACCTGATTCTTTTTTTATGATACGCGAAATGCCATCTCTCGAAATACTCGGTGCGATTTTTGTACCAGAAAGAAAATGCCATGCGACGATTCATGCAAGTACTACACTCCGTACTGTATCGATTTTAGGCAGTTTTGTGTCGTGACAGTTCACGTTATAGATTTCGTGCTGGCATCACACTTTAGTCTATCCAGTGTGGTGTGAACATAGCTAAACATCAAAAACCAATTGCGATTGACTCTAGTTACAAAAACTATCAGCGTTGATTAAATCCTGCCTTCACTAATACGATTCCTACGGAAAAAAGGATAATTTGGTATCTTCTATACTACTTTAAGTAAAGCTCGCCGTCTTTATCGATCTCCTACAGGGGCGTGTTTATTTTCCGATCTATCAGATCTCACTCAGCCTCATTCAGCTTGACTTTCCTGTTTACATTAATGTGTAGAGACAAAGTTAAAACGTTTCATTGATACTTTTTTTTTCGATTAAATTTTCTCAAGATGATACCTTTGCAGATATCCCACTGTTTATCTCGATCAAAGTTGTCCGTGGTGGCGCACCAATAGGAAGCTGATGGACCTCCCCATATACAAGTGTCGTATTGTTTTCCTTCGTATGTAAAGGGGAACACGCAGCATTTGTTTGACACCGTTCTTCTCGTTCTCCCACATGTAACAGCAGTGTCTCCACACACTGAAATGAAAGGACAATACATAAATTTGAAGGGGTTGTGTCATGGAAGAAACTGCTTGTAAATGACAAAATTTTTCAGCTTTTGTTCTCTAAAAAAACATACCTTGTAAGCGTTATACCAAACGTTTCAAACAACCAAAGTGCACTCTGAAAAACTGTTTAATAAGGCTATAAACAAGTTTTCAAAACACACAATAGACCTCTTTAGCACGTATGTTTCGTTTTTCCAATAAAGGTCCCAGGGGAACTTGAACCCTTTGTTTCTTCATAAATTATGCGTAGATATGCACGCGAATAACACGAAACTTGAAAGAAACAGTTCCATTTAACAATAATTCCTCGAGCCCGAATGGGCTGAGTCAATAGCCCATGAGGCCGAATGGGCTATTGACTCAGAGGCCATGAGGGCGAGAGGGATAATTGTTTTAGGAAAATCCAACTAGTTGGTCAAAAACATTGAGAAAAAAAAAGTTTAGCTAGTTAAAGATAGAATTTATAATCCTTTTTTGCTGCCAAAAAACTCGCGCTTTTCTCTACTAGTGGGCTATAACATATAGCCTAGTAGTAGCTCAACCAATAAGAACGCAGCATTGATAATAGACCACTAGTTGGATTTTACTAGAGAGGGTTATCACCATGACTTGTATTGGGAAAACAAAACATACAAGCTAACGATCGAGGTCCATTGCAATCCGTTTCAATCTTTTTCGACTTTGGCCATCCGTACCTTCTTTTTTATTTGCTTTCAGTTGTTATTTTAATGTTTTGAGTGATTATTGAGTAACTCAATTTGGTGGCAGTTTCTTCTGTTTGAATTTTGATAAATGTCCTCACACAACTCCTTTAAACGAAGATTGAAAGTAATTTTAACTGATGAATCAGTGCGTTATATCAAGAGGCGTGGTAGCCATTATGGTTCTTTCTTATAACTGATTTTGTGCGAGCTATCAGCCGCACCAAAAGGTTAGACTCGGTCATGGAGGGGGTAGGCTATAGAGAGAAAATGTTATATCCGTGTGGCTGGTGTGAGAAAGCATTTGCAACCCTTCACATTTAACAGTTTAATTTCAAAGTTTTGAGGGTGTTAAAGCCTGAATAAGAAATGTAGTGAAACTTTAATACTTAATACGGCCACTGTTTGCCCGTAAAAATATAAATCTGGTGTTATATTAATCATGAGGGTTTTAGGTCTTAAAGGAAAGACTTATATAAGGGGGAGAGGTGTTGTTAAGTATTCATGAATTCAGCGCAAAAGTACGAATTTGCTAATGGTTGAACATTTGAATTTGTGGGCAGTTTAATTCAAGACATGTACGACATTTTTACTTTTGAATGATGTTCATTTTTACCAAGGAGTGAATGACAAGAGAGCAAACATACATCTTGGTGAATGTATTAAAACATTAACTGTGCTTATTTATAACAACACTGACACGCTTTAAAATTATGGCATACGTACCTTTTTGAAGAATTGTGAAGAATGATATTTCTAACAGCAGCGCGAACTTCATTCCGCGTTCTCTAACCTGCTCAAGTTGTCGGGTATTTACAGTGACTAGTTTCACAACCGAAAATTTAATTACTTATTAGTGCGACAAGAAAATCACAGTTCGAAGTAAGAAGAGTTTTTTGTTTTAGGGCTTAAACTGTTCACGCGGACTTTCTTTCAGTTCTCCCCTGGCGGTTCAGTAAAACTCCAGGGCCAAAACTCCAACTCAATAACATGAAATGCACTGCGCTCCGAACGGCGGAAATAAGTTACCTTGTTTGAACCTCAGAAATCGTAAAACGGTCTCTCATACAACGCTTCTAAAACTGTTAGAGTTTGGTCAAAAATATAATGGCAAATATAATGATATGCTTATTTTACCTTCTTATTATGTATAATACCTGCTGAGAAATATTTTCCCAATTATCGGGGCAAAAGGAGGTTTTTTAAACCCTCAAGAGAAGTGTAGTAGTTGATAATCCTGTTAACTTTTGTTTCCGGTTTCAGAAATTAAGTAGAGAGGGAAAATATCTTATACTAGTTATAATATATGAAGTGCAGGAATGTTACATCGAGGTGGTTGTTTTTTCTGCTGTACATTTTAAGGCGCCGCAGGATAATTTTCTAACCAGTTGAATCGTGTTTAATACCTGCATCGATTTTCATTAATAATATATTACCGAATGTTTTAATAATTTTTTGCCTTTTTAGGTGGTTTTTCAAAGCGTTTTCTTCGTGTTGTGTTGTCGCAGCAAATATTTATAAATCGCTTCAAGTTTGCACGCATGTTTATTTTTGAATTCCGCATCAGATTCTGATTAGGGCTGTTGTCATGGAAAGCCGGGGTATCTCAATCTTTTGACGATTAAATAATTGGCTCTATATAATACTTGTTTTACATTTTAATGGTGCTTTAACTTAAGGAGCTTTTGCTCACTTCTTACACCGAGCGTTTCCTCTTGCCGCAGGTCTTTTTAATGCTTAATCGTAGTCCGAGCCCCTGTTGCTCGCTCTGCCCGCACAATAAACGTGGGATATAACCATAACACATTAACGCATCTTTTTTTTTTTTTTATTGTGAAACCATTCAACCCTTATGGCGTCAATTTGAATCTTTCATTAAAGGCTCCCCTTTTACTCTTAGTTCAGTAGAAGTCATTGTAACCAACCTTAATCCTACCCACAAAGATCTCCTCACTCGAATTTGTAACTATCTTATTAATGTTACAACAATACTATGTGAACTGTCCGCAATATACAGCTCCATGAACGAAAGTCGAACTGTCAATCTACAGAATTACTCACGTCTAAATTATCAAAGAGCGTTTGAGCATTGAACATTTTCGTTATTCTTATAATTATTATAAAGACTTAGATACCTTCTCCCAGTCTTAGGCCCGCTATGATGTATTATGTTCGCCCAGTGGTAACCATCTACAGTAGTACATTTGCTATAAACTTAGTCCTTTTACCTTGGTCCTTTCTTAACTTACTTTGTAACATCCAAGTAATATGTTCATCAGTTAGTTCTCATACCAATAATATTTGTAACATCAGTTGCCCATAAGAAATGAAAATAAATGGGAAGGACAGTCGCCCTTCTCTTAGCAAAAAGAAAGTAGGACTTCTCGCCTGGGGCTACCGCCATGCTGATTTGTCTCAATGACCACGAAATATGGTACCGGGCCATACCGAGGAGTTGATACGTTTGCTTCAGTAAATTGGTATCGTAATTATTATTTACTTCATGGAGCTCAGTAGATGAAAAAAAAAAAAAAAAACAGACTGGCGATAAATTTTAAAACAAAAAGTGTTCTCAGAACTTCTGTCATTATTGTTAATTGCATAGTGAGCAGACCAGGGGGCCCGTTTCTCAAAAGGCCAGGTAAGATAACTTTTCGGGCCCAAAGGCAAATTTTAATCACAAAACTTGTTCAAAAGTTGCACATTTCCTAGTCACAAACCACTCAATTTTGCTTCGTTAACTGCTGCTTACATTGTAGTATTTTCAAAATTATTGAAACTTTGATCGAGATTACAAACTCGACAAACATAACAAGGCTTTTCGGGCCCTGAAAGTTACCGGGACTTTTGGAGAAACGGGCCCCTTATCTTGAGTAAGTGCTTAAAAAGGCAAATTAAAAGTTGTGACCGTTATAATTTGACGTCACAAAGGGTAGAAAGGACCTGGATCCGCACGGGCTCTAGGGGCGAATGGGCTGAACACTGTACTCGCTGAACACTGCGGTGCGCGCGGCCAGACTGGTCATTTTGAAAATGAAATATCAGTTTTTTTTTCATGAAATTTTAACTAAAACCAATCGCTGCTGTGTATGTCAGTTAGGAATAAACATCTGGCTGGATAGTCCTGATTAATAGTGGAATTCTCCTTACAAATGGACTTGTCTGGCCAGACAGTTCTAAGCGCCCGACGAAAAGACGCCAAAATATATAAAAAATTAGCAAGTCCACAGCGACAACCAATGAGTGGTGCCGTATCTCCCATGCCAGCTGTAGACCTGGATCAGTACAATAACAACGTGTAGAAAAATATGAAACGGCTAGGTGATGAAGAAGTAAGCAAAATAATAAAACAAAAATATATATTTAAACAAATTTGCCCAATATTTCGGTTTGAAAACAAACCTTCATCAGGGGCCAAAGGAAAAATTAAAATAAAACTAAAAGTTCGTTATTAAAACATTCTTTCCCCCACGCGTCCCTCGCGCGTTTCGTGTCGCCTCTCGTGTCAAAAGTAAAGTTGGTCAGCGGTTTGAAAGCTGCCATCACTCGAAATGGCCGCGTTGAAGCGAATTCTTTAACATTTTGAACCGCCATTTCACGGCTTAACGTTTCTGCATGATGTTCATTGTACATTTTGACATCATAAATGGATATATAGGATTTATAACGTGTAAAAATGACAACGCTGGAACTCTACACTAAGGTACCATTTGAGGTTTCGTGATTGTTGTTTTGTTGAACTCGAGTGCCTGGTGCAGACTTCGTAAAGTGAACACCGCCGGCGTTTCTTGTATTTTCAGGGTGCCAGAGTGTGGATTCCGCACAGTCAGGTGGTATGGATCGGTGGAGAAGTAACCAAAGATTTGAACACAGATGGAATCTTGGAAATTGAACTTGATGACGGAAATGTTGGTTTAATGTTCCTCGATTATTTTATAAGCCTTCGCATCAATTTTGACAACTCGTAGTGAAGTGATTTTGTTTGCAAATTTGCAAGCTTGAGTTTATTTGTTTTCTTCTCACAGGAAATTACTATTGATGTATCGAAAGACATAAAGAAATTGCCTCCTCTGAGAAACCCTGAAGTTTTAGTCGGTGAAAATGACCTTACAACGCTCAGCTACCTTCATGAACCAGCAGGTCTGTACACGAAAAAAATATCAATCAATGTAAACTTAATTGTTTTTGTGTTAGTTGATGTGTACAAACTCTTTGTGTGAATGTAAATTGAAGTCTCCTTTTGTTGTAACCTCTTAAACAACACGTTAAGTACTATGGGTATAAAATTTCTGTATTGTATTTTGTTATAAAGGTTATAGCTCAACTCGAAATCAAAGTTCTTTGTGGGGTTATATTTATCAAGTCTTCATTTGTTTTTTCAATTTTATTTATTTCTTGCTTTCAGTGTTGTACAACCTTCAAGTCCGTTTTCTGCAATCCAATGATATATACACATACTGCGGTAGGTATATATGTTTGCCCTTGGTTTTCTCGGTTGACCGTTTCCTTTTTGATATACCCCTGTGTAGAAAATATGGGACCTAAAATTTCAATAACCTCAAAATGTCGTGAATTTATTGGTGCGATACTAATTGCCATCAAGGTTTGTATCTTTGTGTTTATTTTGCTGAAGAATCAACGCTCAGCCATGGAATAATATATATATTTTTGAAAGGAAAATTGCCGTACATTCGTTTGAAAACCTGTTGTTATTGTTTTGTATTGATTTTTTTTTTTATAGAAAAGGACCCTTTTGTTTTGCTTTTAAATTTGTTTGCCTCGGGCAACATGTAAAGAGCGTCAAATCTTAAAACAATTTTAAGATGCAAATTTCTTCTCCCGGACTGAATAATTTAGTTGGTATCTGTCATATGAAATTACTGGAACACTTTTTTCAGCATCCTATCCATTTTCTTCTAAAGTAAGGGAAGAACAATGATAGACTGACATGTCAGTATTGAAACAAATTCAAGTTTAATGAACTATAACTGTATTTATTGATTACGATGTTTCTGTTCCTATGATTTTATAAACTCAAACTGAATAAAACAATATACACCTAAAACTACTTCTATTATTCTGCTCTACAAACCAACTTATATTGGTCAAATGTTGATTACTGTAGTTTATTAACAAAACATGCAAATTGATGGTCAAAGGTATTTCCTCATATTTCACAAAATATCCAAAGAATTCTTGTTAGCAGTTTCAGATTGACCCGGTGGCAATAAATATTGATTCCTTACTTCTGTATTCCAGCCTAGCTATAACCAAATCCTTTGTCAAATTTGTTACTAGCAAGAAATCTTTTTTGATGCCTGATCTTGAAAAAATTTTGAGAAAAAGGGTTCTTGTCAGGATCAAAAGTTGATGTATTTGCACAGAAAGAAAAAAATTCTCTGTGAATTAAGGGGCTTTAGAGAATAACACAATGACATGTATATTATCAAATATTACCAAAATTTTATCTTTGCTGCACTTGCTTAAAAAAATGCCATCAAGCCCATTTAAAGGTCTTATACATGTACATTTTATAAATATTGTCTTCAATCATCTCAATATACCCTTAGTAAGTACAATAATAAACTGAATCAAAACTGAAATGGTTTATAGTCAGCACTAAAGATCACAATATTGTATTAATGTAGACAAACATCTAGCGGCCAAAGGTAATATATATTATTATAATAATTTCTCTTTCGTGGAGGTAGAAAGAAATAGAATAAATTATATTTTGTGATCTTTTTTGGGAATCATCTGCCGTAATGTCGTCATCTGATCTGCTCAAAATACCACAGGATTTAACCAGCTAATTCACTCTGTATTTGTGGTTTTGTTGTATAGGTATTGTGCTGGTTGCTATCAACCCTTATCAGCAGCTGCCTTTGTATGGCCCAGATATTATTGCCGCCTACAGTGGCCAGTCCATGGGTGATATGGACCCTCATATCTTTGCTGTGGCTGAAGATGCTTTCAGAGCCATGTCAAGGTGAGAAAATGATGAGGTCTTCAACTCCTTTGTTTTTAGTTAATTTGGTAATACGCCTCACCCTTCTCCTTTTTAGAATAATACACATGTCAGGAACCCCATAAATGCACGAACCATTACCAGTGGACAAATCCTGGTCTTGACAATGAGGTTTTTGTATTAATGAGAGTTTGAGAAAGAAGACAATAGAGTGTTTTTAAGGTTCAGCCAAAACAGTGGTAAAAAAAGACGTAATGAATTATTTTATTTTGTAAACATCAATGAAATACCAGGCCGGAGAGCTTTCATGCAAAAATAGGATAACTTCACGTGTGAAAAGATGACAGTTGCCATGGCTACATAATAAATCATGCCTTTCATAGCAAAAAGCTATTAAATTAAGTAAAGCGGTTTGGTATTTCATTGGTGTTTATATAATAAATATTACTTTACATGGTTGCTTATTCTTGTGTTGAATAATATTTCACTTGTTAACTCCACTCGCTTGTGAAATATTATTCACCACTTGAAGGGAAATTTTGTATCTCCGTGAGGACATCTAATATCCTCTGTATATTTAAACGGGATGGTTATCAAGCAGGGTTCCACTGTAGCAGTTTTTTTTTGAAGGAGGGCATTTATGTACTTCAGCCTGCTAGCAGAGCCCTTCTTTCACTAGCTTGATTTTGGCGTACTTACTAAAGACTCTACATGAATTGAGTAAGATGTTTGTTGAGCTTGTGCTGCTTGTTGTAGCCCATGTAGAAGGTGCCGTTTTATTTAGGGCGAAGGGAGAAATTGTGAGGACACACGAGGGGAGAAAAGGAAAGGAGGCACCTGCTGCAGAGTCCTTTGTTTTCCATTTACTCCCCCAAAATAACATGACAGCACTGCATGCATCAACTGCCAAAAAATTGATTGAAAGCAGATTGTCTAATGACTGGAACCGACCTCAGACCCAAAGGGAAAAATAACCTTGTGAATTTTGGTTATATCTTCATAAAGTAAACAATGTACACTGTAATTTTAAATTCAGAGCAAACATGGTGAACAGGCCAACTTAAGTCCTGTCCAGGCTTTTGTCAACAAAAGACATTGTTCATAGATTAATGATGGTGATTTTAATGAAATTTAAAAATCTTTTGCCCATCACCACTTCTGTTTAAGCTCACAAAGGTATGCAATGTACATTCCTTGCTGCATATATTTCTTTTATATAGTCCAGTTTTTCTTTCGAGTCTCACACTGACGTTCCCTTAGAAGTTACCTCAGCTGATTGATCCTGAATTTCGCTTTTTAACAGGCAAATAACGATAATGCTTGCAAAGATGGTTCTGGTCTTTGCATCCCAATACAAATATTTGTAAAATTAAACTTTCTCCAAACCCAGCGGGTAATACTGCCAAGAGATCTTTACCAATCTTTGTCTATCATTCTACAGGCAATGCCTCCATTGTCTACTCTCTCAAACTGATGTCCATTTTTCCTTGTACCTATTTAGAGATGGGTTAAACCAGTCAATCATTGTGAGTGGTGAGAGTGGTGCAGGAAAGACAGTCAGTGCTAAGTATGCCATGAGGTATTTTGCATCTGTGGGTGGAGCTTCTACAGAGACACAGGTTGAAAAGAAAGTCTTAGCTTCAAACCCCATTATGGAGGTAGGGCCACTGTTTTATTTATGATCATTGTTATTTTATTATCTTTTCATCCTTAATTGCATTTAAGTGATCTTACAGGTTTCCATAGCGACCTACCGGCATTTGTAATGCATCTTATTGTACAAATAGGCCTACAGCTGTATTTTGAATTTTTTTTTTTATTTTTGCTTATTTTTTTTCAAGAGTGGTGCTTCGTAAGTTCTCTCTTCAATGAATGAGTTGAACCTTCAACGTTTGAAATTAATATGAGTAAAGACACTCTACAAGACAGTGGAGTGGAACTGAATTGTTTTAAAAAGAAACTGTTCTCCCAAAGTATTGCCTAAGTGTTGTTGAAGCTGTAGAAATTTTTAAAATAGGGAATAAGGAGCTGGGTGTAGAGTACCATAAACGTCTGGCTTATACAACTTCGTAAGGTTTTAGATGGATTTATAGACAGGGGGCTTATATATATCCAGGTGAGCTTATCCTAACAAGCTACATAGCAGTGCATATTCTCCTTCCTCCTGCTACCAGAATTCTTAATTATGAAAACCCTGACTTCTGTTCAAAATACTTTTTAAATTTGCTTGCTTTTTTTAACATGTAAGCCTCAAAACGTCGTCAACAATTGAACTCATTACAGTACAAGCTAGAGGGGGCTTATAACCAGATGTAATTATTTCTTTTGTTTGCAGGTAGTTGGGCCTATACATAGGGTGATGGGGTGGGGGGGGGGGGGCAAGGGGGAGGAGCTTATAAGCAGAAGTTTATTGTAATTTGCTTGTTCGGCTGGCTGTGGGGTTGGGTGTGATAAGACCTTGAACCAAAATATCTCTTCTGACTTGTGAATGCTATGGGCTTTATTTTCTAACATCTATTTCAGGCCATTGGGAATGCAAAGACAATTCGAAATGACAACAGCAGCAGATTTGGAAAATACCTGGAGATTTCCTTTGACAAGAACCACCACATAACCGCTGCCCACATGAGGACATACTTGTTGGAAAAATCACGTGTTGTGTTTCAAGCACCAGACGAAAGAAACTATCACATCTTCTATCAGATGTGTGCTGCTTGTGACACCCCAGAGCTCAAAGATCTCAGACTTGGTATGTTGATCTGTTGGTTAACATTGATTGAAAATCAGTGATCAGCATTACAATATGGAAACAATAATTATATTATTTCTGGTAAAATTTCACACAACAATAATTTATTATTATGTTAAACTCATCAACAAAGATAAGCTTGAGGGAGGTGCCCAAAAAGTTGATGGAGCAAAGAACCGAAGCTGAGAGCAATGCAAAACCATGACAACCGTGTGAGTGGCAACCACCAGGCACCATCACACTGCTAACCACTGGAACCTAAAATTCTTCAAACACCCTGTATTTAACAAAATAGAGGACAACTAGGTAGCAGTAAAGCACTGTAGAAGCACAAGCCATGACAGACAACAACACATGAATGTAATGGCCTGACCTGAAGAGAAAGGCTGTAAAAATGCATAAAACCCTGCAAAAAAAATAGCTCATATCTCTACTTTAGACTGCTGGCCTGCAATGCCCCTAGTTTAACTTAGCCCAAACTTCATTTAGCCACATTAATGTGGTAAAATTATGTGTACAGTACCGCTCAAAAGTAAGTTACATATACCACCCTCGCGTGAGAAGGGAATCACATTACATGCTACATGATTCCTGTAGTGCAGGATGCCATTCAAAAGGCCATGCCTTAGGATTTACTTGAGACCCTTTAGAACCAAAAGTAGTCATGTCCCTTGGGACAAGTTGTCGTGCATTTAATATGTGGATATATATAACTTTGTCGTTTTTTTTTCTTTCGTGTGTAGTTTGAGTGATTGTGGTAATTTGTTTTGCCTTCTCTATAGCACACCAGGACAACTTCTACTTCCTCAATCAAGGAGAGTGTCCATATGTTAATGAGGTTGATGATGTTGAAGGATTTGAGGAGATGCGTGAGGCCATGGACCTTGTGGGAATTATGGAAGATCAACAACTCATGATATTCAGGATTTTAGCTGGTATTTTGCATATTGGGAACATTGATATTCACCCATCTGGAGAAGAAGAGAGTGAAATTGATGTGAGGCATATTCATTTGTTTGTTATTAGTGAGAAATGCTATACATCTACATGTAGGAATGACAAAAAATTGTGATTACACCCCCTGGTCTGGGGGTGTCATATTTTGTTTTGGAGCAAATAGGGTTAGGGTTTAACAACCTTCATGGGACACACTGATAGGGGTACACATTCTTGGTGACAATCATTTGGTAACAAGGCATTCTTGATTTGTGGTGGTGCCCTTTTTGATGTGAGTGTTAATTACCCTTTTCTTGCACTTGGGTACAACCACATCCATTCATGTAAATTCAGTAATGGTTTCCCATTTTGTGAGTTAATTATTTTTTTTCTCATTTTCAGTTATTACTATTTTATTTAGGACAAAGATGTCCATCTTGCAATAGCTGCAGACCTTCTGGGTGTTGATAGGGGTCAATTTAAGAAATGGATGTGCAATCGTAAGATTGTGACTGTGCAAGAAGTATTAATCAAACCACTCAATGTTGAAGAGGTAACTTATTTTACTTGCCAAATGTCTTTTCTAGATGCATACACTGCAGTATAATATTATTTGTTGTGAGCTGGCCTGCCTTTGTCTTCCTACAGTATAAATATTTCCAGTTTACCTAGGACTGACATAAAATTTAGAATCTAATGTACACTGTAACATTCACCTGTAAAGATCAACATAAAAACTTTATTTGGAAGTATCTTTTTTGGCTAGACCAGTGCCATGATTTGTAATAGTCAGAAAGCACTGTCATACTACAACCATGTCTATATACATTTTGGTGGCATGTTAGGTCTGGAAAGTCCTGGAACGTGATTTTAAGATCATGGAAAGTTCTGAAAATCAGTTAACTCACAAGTTTTCTCTTTTTTCACAATTTTTTTAAGAAGGTTGTCTGAAGCGTTGTATCTAGTCTTCTTTTGTAATGTCAAAGTCACTTGAATTTTACTCTCTCTCTCTGCAACTGAAGATCTGTTTGAAAAGATTTTTTGTGGCTAAGGGAGCACTGGAAAAATCTGTCTTGAAACGTGGAAACTCCTCCTTTAAATTGGGTGAAAAAAAACTGAAAATGGCCTAAACAATGTACAGGTGGTTACAAGGAAGTGATCTTAATAGACACGAGGATTGTGGCTCTCCCTGATAACCCTGTTTGAGGTTATACTCATGTTCTCTCTTTTTAGGCCAATTTTGGAAGAGAAGCAATCAGCAAGCACATTTATTCTCAGCTTTTTAAGTGGATAGTTCACTGTATCAACAATTCTCTTACCACTAATGTCAAACAGCACTCTTTCCTTGGAATCCTGGACATCTATGGGTGAGTATAAAATCATTAGAGCAGTTTCCAGTTGTTTGTTGTAAATTGAACTAAAAAAAGTGATGGCTCTGACAAATAATTGACTCTTACATATATCTGGTCCTAAGAGTTGATTTCCAGTTTCGTGTAATTTTTATGAGCATAGTGCGTAAAATTATTTAAGTTTGCAAATAAAATACATGTAGAGGCAGTGCATGAAAGGTTGCGTGTAAGGGTAAAAGTTGAACCTCACTCAACTTCTTGTTTAAGCTTAGCACTTTTTATCTTGCCGCTATTTTATTTATGTGATTAGAATTTATGTGCATTATATGCATAGCCAAAAACGTGTCAGTGGAAATCAAGCTTAAGGGAAACATCTACATCTACAGTGGAAGCTGTCGTAATTGGACACCTGAAGGATGCAAAAAGTGTCCCTTTACTAGAGCTGGCCGCTTACAATAATGTTTCTCATCAGTGGCCAAGGATTAAATGGCCACTTTTGGGGGCTAATTGCTCTACTATAAATAAACATTGGAAATGAAAAAAAACTGTTTGTTAGTGTTTGGCTATACTATTGTTCTGATAATGTTATAATTTAGCCACAAGCGTAACATCCAAGTGGTGTTAAGTTTTGAGGTGTAACTGGACGTGTATGTGAAAAAAAAGCACTGAAACTGATATAAATTCATTGTGATGAACAGCAATATGAAGTTGATATATTAAAATACAGTATACATGGCCACTTATGTTTGCTAAAATCTAACTTGTAAATGCCAAAAGTGTCCACAGAATGCAGAGTTTGTATGTCAGTTAAAACAAGGTTTTGTGACGGTGGCTGTAAGTAGAGATTTCCACTTACATGTACAAGAGTGTCCATTAAGAGAATTTCCACTCAGCAGTTTTTTCCCAAGAGTCTTTTGTTGATGTTTGGCAACATCAAGGTTCGTTTGCATCAAGAATCGTAGTTATCCCTTCCAAAGAATTTCCCTGATGGAGGCTGACTACAAATTCATGAAAACAAACTTCTCTATCTTCCTTCGTCTTATCAATGCTGATATGTCACCAAAATTAACACCAGTGTTGTGATCACTGGAAGTATATTGCGTTACAGATGTTGACTCACTTGATTACTGGAATGTTTGACGCAAATATACCTGTTAATACAGAGTGTAAAACACAAATTTTTGAATCAATAGAGAATCAAAAATAGTTACTCAAGTTTCACACAACAAGCCATTCCTACTTATGTCAGTCCTGTATGTACTATGTTTTAAGACAAAAAAATTAGTTAATTGCCGTTAAGTTACATGAAAATTCATTCAATATGCTTGAATGCTGTTTTTGCTGGTCTGTCTTCACCTCTTAACTACTTTCGACAAATGTGGGAGTCTTTTCCTGTAGTGTGTTACATCTGATATTTGCTAAGGGTAAAAGCTTTACAAATTCGGTAAATGACTTCTATTTTCAGCTTTGAAACTTTTGAAGTGAACAGTTTTGAACAGTTTTGTATCAATTACGCAAATGAAAAGCTTCAGCAGCAGTTTACACAGGTAAATTTATATTTCTGTCTAACATGCATCAGTGCTGAGAACCTCAATGTTTATTTAATAAGCATAAAGTTACTTTTTATTATCATTTTTTTTCATTATCATAACATTTTGATTTTGATAATATACAATCACTATTATAGTCTAGTGCACTTCTGCAGGCGTTGAGTAGTAACTTACCAGAGAACAATTAGTATTACATTGTACAGTGTACAACTCTGTACAGTACATTATCAATTCAGGGCTTCTGATATTTCGCGGAAAAAAAAGCCAAATTTCGCGGGATTTTCGCGGGAAAAAAGTCAAAATTCGCGGAAAAATCGGCCGATTTTGCGGGATTTTCGCGGGAGAAAAGTCAAAATTCGCAGAAAAATCGGCCGATTTCGCGGGATTTTAGCGGAAAAAAGTCAAATTTCGAAGGATTTTCAGGGGCAAATTCTTAGAAAAATCGGCGGATTTCACGGGAAATTTCAGGGGGAAACTTCGCCAAGAAACAATCAGTAAAAAACAGCCGATTTCGCTTGATTTTTTGGGGCAAATTTCGCTAAAATCGATCAATTTGCGTCGATATGGCCAGCGTTGTTTAATGTTTTTTTTACAGGGATAATCATTTGCTCTCTCAACAACAGTTCGCTCGAGAAATGAGCGAATTCTAAAGCTGTCAACATTATGGTTAGTGCCCAGTTTTCAATCATCTAAGAACGCCTGCTAGTTTTGGGACGTTGTTTACTCGTTGCAGTGACGAAGTTTCAAGAGAAACTCGGACGTTTGGGGTGAATAGAACAGGTCTAATAGCCAAGATAAGTATTAAATATGTTTTGCCGACATGTATTTGGAAATATCTCTGGCGGATTTCGCGGTATTTCGCGTTTTTTGGGAAATTTCGCGGGATTTCGCGGAAATACCTGAATTTCGCGGGTCCGCGACCGCGCGAAATATCAGAAGCCCTGTATCATGAATCCTTATACGTAGCAATATCTGCATAATTTACCATCATTCTCGTGAACTCATTATGACTCATTATCTCTTGGGTGTTACATTTGCTAAATTCCTATTTGGAAGTAAACAATCTTGCCCATTTCAAAATATTATAGGTACACTTGGTTTTCCTCATGGCCTTTATCAATAATACAAGTTTATTCAACAACATTGAAAGGGAAAAGTTTACATAATATGTTCTCAAACTCATTAGTAATTTATAAAGAAAATACAAAGGAAATTAATGTTAATGAGTGTTTGGAAAACAGATGGAAAACTGCTCATTTTTGCATCCTTAATTTGTCCTTCTAAAATCGTTTTGTTTGAGAAGTAATATCAAGCATTCGACACAGTGTTTCATCACCAGATGAAACACCTGGAAGTTCGTCAAAAATACTCCTCAGCGCGTCATTTCTTCAACTCTCTTCTTAGTCTTTTATGTGGTGATGAAACACTGCGTCTCATGCCTGATATACAGCTATTTCTAGAAAGGCTGTCGGAAAAAATTTGCACGCGACAATCCCGAAAGGTAGTATGGGATACGATCAATTCACTGTTCCTGACACTGTAGCTTTCGAACCTACTTTTGTTGCTTTCCTTTAGCACTCTCAGACATATTTCCATGGCCTCTCGTGCCATTCTCTCAGATTTCTTTGAAGAACAGTGAACTCAAAACCACCCACAATACCTTTCGGGATGTTCGCGTGCACTTTTTTCCCACAACCTTTTTCGAAATAGCTGTTTCCTGCCACACATCGGAAAGGCTAATCTAGGTGCGGAGAGTAAATCTATTCAGTTGTGCAAAGGTAATCAAGAAGTATAAACCAAGTTAAATTTGAACGGACATAAATAACTGAGACCTGAACCATTGAAAGTTTAGGGATTGAATGTTACTTATATGATGATTACAGCACGTCTTCAAACTGGAACAAGATGAGTATGTGAGGGAAGAAATTGAGTGGTCGTTCATCAACTTTTATGATAATCAGCCCTGTATTGAACTGATCGAGTCTAAGCTTGGAATCCTTGACTTGTTAGATGAAGAATGCAAGGTAAACATTTTCGTGGATTAACGTTTCAGTTCACACATAAACTAAGCCCACTGAATTGCATTTGCTTTCAAGAAATAGAAAAATTATCAGCAGCTCCGCTCAGATTCTCATTTCCATTTCAATTATTGATCTTCACATAATAATACGCGTTTTATCCTTGATTAAAATACAGTCCTATTTTTTTGGTCTAATTTGGCTTCCATGATCAGGGCCAATACAGTGCAATTACTTAGTCAAGGCTGATTTAGACCCATGGGTTAAAATGGGTCCCAGCGTGGGCTGGAATAGTTTTTTCATTGGTCTGTTTTGGTTTAAATTGTGCTCAAATGGCTCCAGGAGAGGTTCCTGCAGGACTAAATTGGCACTTTACGGCTAAAACATCTTTTTCATTTACAGTGTTTGCCAGTGTCATTTTTTTAACTGTTATTTTTATTCTTCGCTAGATGCCTAAAGGTTCTGACAGCTCATGGATTCAGAAGCTGTACAAGCAACACTTGAAAAAGCAGCATTTCAGTAAGCCACGCCTTTCCCAGACAGCTTTCATCGTGCATCACTTTGCAGATGATGTGGAGTATGAAGCGAACGGTTTCGTGGAGAAAAATCGCGATACTGTTAATCAAGAGCATTTGGCAATCCTTAAAGCCAGCGAGGTAAGAGCAGAATAGCGATGGCTTAGCAGGGGCACCCAACGACAATTTTCGGAAAATATCTGTTCGGAAGACCATTTGAGACCTAGAATTTTCGGAACATTTGTTGTAAAATTTCATCTGTTGCCTCTCCTAGGATTTTCGAACATCCGAAAAAATGGTATAATTGCCCTTTTTGACGGATTTTACCCAGGAAAAAGGTCATCTAAAATTTTAGGGAGCCTTTTTTCTGGGTGAAATTTTCGAAAAGGTTAAAATTTGAATTATAAATTTTTTCGGATCACGAACTTTCAGGAGAAATCCGAACAGATCAAAAATTTTTAGGGGATAAAAATATGCCTATATCTACCGCTTAAAACTAAAATACGTTTAACAATGCTATGTTTAAGTGGTTTTGAACTATATTCTCGTTGGGTGCCCCTGGCTTAGGCCAAAAGTTAGTCCCTTCAGGGAAGTATCCTTGGCTATTTCCCTTGACCAACGTAATGAAATAGCTAATGAAAATTATTTAAATTGATATGAACGGACAATTTTTCATTTAGCAATGTAGTGGCACTGAAATATAAATTCAGACTAAGTAGAAAAACACCTTAAAGACCTTCAATAAAGACCTTTAATTACTTAATTAATTAACCACTTTTTAAACATCTTTGAAACTTAAACGAAAATTGACGTGTCTTACATTATCATTAAAAAACCTTTAAATTTTGTAGTATGTAGAGCTACGTTAATAATATGCCTGTAATAATAATAATCTTAATAATAATCTTAATGAGACCTCTAAACCGTGTTTGTTTCTCGTACAGTATGAGTTGGTGGCACAAGTTATAGAGTATACACAGCATGTAAGTACTTTGCATGAAATGCAGGTTAAGATCGTCTATAAACGTCTTTGCTTTGACTGCTGATACGTGTACATCTAAACTGTATGAAGAGTGATGTGAACCGGGTCTTCGCACGAATCATGATCACTGAGCTAAAGCTGGAACGCAGGAGATAATTATGATGATGATATTTTTAAATGTTTTAGTTTCGCAGGCCAGTTATACAATAAAATGATCAATTTTTTGAATTTCACTGCAGTTATCTCTCTTAATTCGCTGCAATAAAGCCAATTAAGTATCTTCCTTTTTCTTAAAAGATCGAAATTGTTATTCCTTAAACAGTAGGAAATGTTAAATAACAGATATAAAGAACCCTTTGGTTAGTTCGTAGCCGGTAATTTGTAATAATAGTTGACGTGAAGCAAAAAACAGCTTTTTGGTTTACAACTCAGACCCTAATTAAAAGAATTCCACTGATCATTTCTCTGTAAATAGTAAACCTATTCAGTACACTCTCTTAGCTTCCGATAACTCCAAAAAAACCCTTAAACTGCGCCACGTAACCAAATAGCTTAAGAAAACTACTCTGCGCTTGTACATGGACTTTCGAAACAGCAACTGGAGGCAATGGCAATTCAGCATTGTCCAGTGTTGGAATGGGGCGGTATTATGTAGGAGGCATTCACAGTTCAGCATTGTCCAATGTCGGAATGTGGTGGTGTTATGCTGGAGGCAATGGCAATTCAGCATTATCCAATGTTTGAATGGGCGGTATTATGCTGGAGGGAATGGCAATTCAGTATTGTCCATGGTCGTGTGTGCGGAGTATAAACTGTGTGTTTTGTTACAGTATGAGATGGTAGGAGACTTGTTTACTGACAATGAAGCCCATCTGATGCCTCGCAAAAGAGCAGCCTCCAGAACAGGCAAAAATGCTGCTAAATCCAAGAGAAGTGTGGGATCTGAGGTTTGTATACTCTCACTTCATTAACTTGTTGTTTTCTTCTTTTAACTATCACAGTTTGCAATCGCCTTTCTCACACGCCTCAGTGGTAAATTCGCTATGCTATGAATTTTCAGACGTTATGTCCAGACTTTACATGCAACTTCAGACTGGAAAGTGCACTATCCAATTTTGCCCGGTTGGTGAGAGTTCCGTTACAGTGCAAACGACGGAAACCACTGGGACTTTAATACATGAAAATTGTGTCAACGATACTCGTTTGTGCTCATGATCTGCTCTGCAAAGTTTCTGCTTTGCATAATATCATCTGTAGCATAGTTTCTTTTTCCGCCGCTCTTTCGCGTTCGCGGACTTTGACGTTGAGCTCTTTTTCTTCCAGACGACAGCTGCTAATCGATCCCTGTACTCGTATCAAAGTTCTTGTTTTTGATTACAACCGTCCATTATATTTTATTCTTAACAACTTTGTTTTCTCCTCTGCAGTTTCGAGAATCTTTGTCAAAACTAATGGGAACTCTAAACAGCACTGTGCCTCATTACATTCGCTGCATCAAACCTAACGACCGCAAAGCACCATTTGAGTTCAATCCGCAGCGAACTATTCAACAACTGCGCGCATGCGGAGTACTGGAGACTGTTCGAATCAGTGCCGCTGGGTACCCCTCTAGGTGGAGCTATCCAGAATTCTTTAACCGTTACCGCATGCTGCTGAAATTTAAAGACATAAACAGAAAGAAGCCTCAAGCTACAATAAAGCTGTTATTGACCACTTTTATTAAGGTAATTCATCGATTCGATTGTTTCAGTTGAGATGAAGTACTCATACACTACCGCTCAAAAGTTACCACTTTCTCGTGAGACTCGAATCTCGTCGCGCACTACGCGATTCTCGTAAGTAATATGACTAAAATTATTGCTCGTAGCGCGCGACGCGGTTCCTGTCGCGTGTATGAGATCTTGTCGTCATTCTTTTGCTACTTTTCAGTTAAAATATTGTTCTTCGTGCAAAGTGAGATATTTGACCAGCCGTTTTTGAAGGGCTGCCGGTGATGTTGCTCTACTCTTCACTGGACTGTCTTCGGTGATCAATATCCGGCTTCAAAAGATTAAGCAACCTTTTTTCTTAAGTCATTCGTGTACCTCACAAACAAAGTGTCACTGACAGTGTCTGGGTCTCCGAGGATGGGCAAACGTTGGAAAAGTGAGATCGAGCGGGAGAACGTGCAGAGCCTCTAGCGTTTCCACGCGTGACCGATTTCCCTCTTCCCACTCTTGAACGTCCACTACACTGGGTATTAGAACATAGACAATCAATACTTAACCTCGCTTAACTATCCATCTAGTAAGTATATTATTGGAAGAAGCCTTGTTTTCAAAGAAAGACGAATTTAAGAAGCGGGGGGACGGGGGGCGGGCAGGGCATTACTGAGGTGATTGAATTAAATTTGACTGAGAGGTAAGATTGTTAAAAGTTCTCTCTTTCGAAACGTCTTAAAATTCTCTTATTTTCTCAAAGGATCCTGACAAGTTTCAGATGGGTAAAACCAAGATCTTCTTTCGAGCTGGTCAAGTAAGTTGTGTCCATACGTCTGTAATTACTTCGTGGGTTACGCATTAGTCTCATAAATTTACAAACGTATTCCTTTTGGAGAATTCTTTTGATTCTGGTTTTCTTTTAGGTCGCCTATTTGGAGAAATTAAGAGCCGACAAGCTTCGGGACAGTTGTATAATGATCCAAAAGAATTTCCGTTGTTGGAGAGAGCACCGCCTCTACCTGAAGATGAGGCGGTCTGCTATCCTCATTCAGGCCTCGGTTCGAGGATATCTTGCGAGAAGGTACATACTTGAACAATAGTTTTGCAGTTTTTAAAAGGAACATATCTTTTCAGAAAATTTCGATTTTGGTGGTTGTACGAGCTTACACTTTTGTCTGAAAAGGAAAGTAATCAGTTTCTTCTGTTAAATTGTCCGTTAAGAGTCACATGTGGTGGTAATACAAAATCATTTTTTACCAGTTTATTTTTAAGAGTTTGATTTAGGCCCCGTCTAACGATTCTGGACATTTTTGAAACCGCAAAGTTGTCTACCCGGCGGATTCGTGTGGACGGCGCCTTAAACTACTCTGGAGAGATCTGGAGACCGGTTTCAAAAAGATGCGGTTTCGGTCAGCGGATTTATTGGTTTCGCGTGAATGGAAGGCGGAATCTCGTAACAAATATACGATTTCAAAAATATCCGAATTCGTGTGGAGGCCTTAATCATCGTGTATATGAAGATGCGGGTATAACTTTGCACATTTTCCGCAAAGTTGCGTGTGTCTTTATTATGACTGATTTCTTAACGAAGATTATAGCTAAAGCAGTAGAAGTCTGTTGCGTCACATACACATACGTAATAGCAGCTGGCACTAGGCTTAAAGAAATATCTGTTTTATTCCCAGACTTGCCCAAGATCTGCGTGAAACAAAGGCCGCAATCACAGTCCAGCGGTATTACCGTGGACATATCTGCCGAAGACGGTTCGTCTCTCTTCGGAAAGCCGTCGTTAAGATCCAATGCTTCACTCGTGGAATGTTCGCCAGACGACTTCGTATGCGCCTTCTGTACGTGGCCAAAGCTAAAATCATCCAGCGGTGTTGGCAGAGGTACAAAGCAAGGAAACGATACAGGAATTATAAGAAAACCATCATCTATCTGCAGTCGTGTGTGCGCAGGGTGATCGCTAGACGACAACTCAAGCAGCTCAAGGTGCGGTCATTGTGCCGTTGCTTTTCAAATCAAACTTTTGCTCCCGGTATTAAAAGTGGATCTCTGGCTTCGTGATGAAGTTCTTATCAATTTGTTGACACATTATTCATCACTGCCCAAGTTTTACCTCTCAAATCAGACATATTTTTGGTTTGATCTTATTATAGTAATTAGAAGGTAGTTAAATTGCAGGGGCGGAAAACGTAGCTATATTTAAGGGCTTTGATTCGGCTCCGCTTAAACCAAATACTATAATTAAAAAGCGAGGGAGAGCGATAATATAGTAAGGGGAATCCTCATGATGTGCGCGTGGGCTCTTTATTTGCACTTTGCTGCCCCCCTTTTAACGCCGTCTTGTTTATGTCTTCTTTTTGTTGTTCAGATCGAAGCGCGCTCTGTGGAACACTACAAGAAGTTAAACATTGGAATGGAGAACAAGATCATTCATTTGCAACAACGATTGGATGAACAGGTATTTGCCCAGCTGTTAAGCCTCCGGCTGGCTCTCACAGTCAGTTATGTCAGTGAGCTGTAGTGTTTGAGTAGTCTTGGGTTTGTTCCGTTTTCGTTCAGGTTAATTCAGTCCTTCAGTCCTTTACACTGGGCTGGCACCTTTTCATGTGAGGCGTCACAGGCGAACAGTGGATTGATCAGGAGTTAAGAGACCAGACAAAGAACAACCCTTGGTCCTCCAGGCTGGGGTTTTAGCCCTGTGCTACCAAGCGGATAATGATTACAGAAACCTAAAGCACTGTCTCTGCTTAACATTATGAAATTGGTTCCCATTCAAAAACAAATCTTGTACACATTTTTATACCTTTTTTGAACAGCACTGTTGTTAGATATCTGAATTTACTGGTTGAATTTTCTCTTCTCAGGTCAAAGAAAAGGAACAAGCTCAAGCTGCTGGAAGGGAACTTGAGGCTACACGAAAGGAGCTAGACCAAGCAAAGCAGTGGAAGGGCCACTTTGAGTCTACCCAAGCCAAGATGTTAGAGTTAGAACTGGTCATAAAAGAATTAAAGGAGGAGCTTAACGCGGCAATTGTAGAGAAAGATGATACTAAAGAACAAGCTAAAAATGAAAAGGAGGAACTAGAAGAGGTTTGGTCCAGTTATAATTTTTCTTTGCTCGCGACGCTTATATTGCTTTCCAAAGTACTGTATTTATTCGCCCTTTATGAGCGGTTGTAACTTAATTTACCTGAAAGCTTCAGTCAAGGCGACAACGATGGCGTCGAGAACGTCGTTGAATAAGCAAAACAGCAACTCTGCGCGTGCAGTACATGTTTGTTCCATTTCTTTGCCGTCATTGCACGATTGCGGCACGAATTTCTCTAACTTGGCATTTTATGTAGGGAGCAAGCACACGACCACGAATGTTCCTTTCTCTTTCTGTGAACCTGGGTGTGTTTCCTAAGGATTCATCTCTAGGAATTTCACTTATGTTTAGCAGATTGACTGGACTTGGAATATTCACGGTAAAGTTTGAAAGAATTTGAATTTATCGGCTTCATTAGTGACGTTTTCGCTACCGTCGCTGTTCGCTTTTGCTCTCTACTTACTTTGCAGTCCCTTAAAAGATTATATGGAAACCAAGATTTTCTGTTGCTTTGGATTCGCCGTGATTTTCAGTTTTGTGGCAAATCAGAGTTATGCAAACAGACCGTGCAATGAAGCCATTAGACTGACTCAATTGTACAAAAAAAACGTGATGCACGTGAAAGGCTCTGTTTTGCTAAGAACCGGCGGAACCGCGCAAGTTTTTGAACGGCAAACAGAACTGCAGTCTTGCACAGTTCCATGTAAACGGATTGCACAGGTAGAAAATTCTTCCGTCCAAACATTTGTCCGGACCCGTGTAAACGTGGTCTGAACCTATTGCTTTTTTTGACGTTGCCGTCACTGTCACAACGTCTTAAACCCCCTATACTAATAAGGCGAAAGTCACTTCGGATTGTTCGATTTTAGCATTGGTTGGCTACGAACGCTGCATTGCATATCCAAAGCAAACGTGGAAATAGTGATTTGTCAGTGGTGAGCAATAATGGATCTGCTCGCCACTGACAAATCACCATATTTTGCAATAACTGAGTTTTATCATTCGATCACCGAATTTATTTTTTGATGAATGTCTTCGTGAAGCGAAGTGATCTGCCATTGTCAAGCAAATTTCATTTACACATGAGCAGAATATTTTTATTTATTTATTTTATTTTATTAGCTTCGCCTATGACATGATACAGAGAGAAAAAAAGTAAAAAATATATATTGAAATGCTTAATTAGGCAGGGATATCTCCACAGCGGTAAGCCAGTTATAGTGGTCCCAGATATTATTTGCAGCCAAACACAGTAATGGACGACATTGCGCATGAGCAGACCATTATTTGTAGGCAGTTATTGGTCACGTCGTGGGCTATAGGCCAATGAAAAGGATTGCATCGAATAATAATCTCTCTGATTTTTCGTGCAGATAAACATGAAACTGAAGGAGGAATTGGTAAAACTAACGGAGGAGCTTGCAGAAGCAAAGGCCATCACGGAAAGAGAGGTCTCACTCAGAGATGGTAGGCACTGCTACAATAAACAATAATTCTAGCGCAGTTTATTAGCTGTGGGACAGAATGATTGTTGGGAACACGTATTGGAGAAGAGAAGTGATGACGTCACAAAACTAAATTTGTGAAATCATGGGATAGGTTGGCATATCCAGAAAGAACAAGATGAAAAATGCTCACTTGCCAAAAATCAGCCTGTTAGTGCAAATTGATAGGGATATATAAGCCTTGTTATGCTCAAATAACTCCATTTAAATCCCTCTAAAATAGGTCTGGATCGAAAACGCTTCGATCCAAGCCAATTTTAGAAGGATTTGTTTGGAGTCATTAAAACATAAAGGTGCTCGTATATCTCCCCGCCAATTTGCAACAACAGGCTGATTTTTGGCAAGGGAGCTTTTTCATCTTGTTCTTTGTGAATATGCCATTTAATCCCAATCCAATCTTCTCAATTCACGGAAGGACTGGACTTTTTTTACGTCAACTAAGTCTCATATTCAGGTCGTTGACAGATTTTTTTATTTGATAAATCATGCCAATTGTGAGAAGGCACCTTTTCGATCGGACTGACCTTTCCTGGGACTTGTCACCGGCTTGTCAAAGTTTTAGTGTAGTACTGCAAATTTTTCGTACAGTCTTTCACAACTCTTTGTCAAGAACATAGCCCTCACGCTATACTGATAAGACCACTTTATGTAATTCAATAGCTAGAAATATAAGTAAAATCTTGCTAAGCTATTCTATACATCTTCTCTGTAGAAATTATAACTCAAAGTCTTGAAGCCCAAAGACAACAGTTACTAGCTGAGTTTGAAGCTGAGCGGACCAATCACCAGCGCGTATTACGAGACTATAACCGGCTGGAGCAACGCTATCAAAATCTTCAGGACGAGCTGGAGATTGAGAAGCTAAGCCCAGCGCCTCGCAGAGTATCTGGAGAAGCTCACATGGGCTTTGACGGCTTGATAAGTGCGAGCAGTTCAGGTTCGTCCCAAAACATTTTGCTGCAAGACTTGTACATTGTTTTTCAGAATGCTTTGTTTGTGTCCACTGTTCATGGAAGCTACCCGCCTACTCCTCCCCTAAACCAATGTTATCAGGGACCTTACGATCCGACGACGGCGACGTTTGCGCGAACGTCAAAAAAAAAAAATAGGTTTTGAATGTCAAAACAAAAATTTCGCACTTGCAGCACACTTTTTTGTACATTACTTTACACTCACTGCACGACTGCGACATGAAAATGCCTTGTTCGCGAAGACGAAGAGAGATTTTTTTTTCTCTTTCTGAACTTGGATTTGGTTCTTAGAATTCCAACTACAGAATAGTTCGTCCACATTTGGCAAAGTAAGTGAATGGAATAATCGCGATGAAGATCAGTTGAATTAACGCGAATTCACTCTTTAAGCGACTTTTTCGCCTCCGTGGCTGTCCTCAGATCCTAAGGTTCCTATTACTAACTTCACACATAAGGCAAAATGTGGTTTGGGAGCGTTTCTTAGAATCTTATCTTCTATTCATTCTTTTGATGTTGGCTTTGTCTGTGTGAATCCTGTCAGAAATAATTAACAAAGAAAGCAGAGCCTAATTATTTCTGACAGGATTTACAAAGAGAAAGCCAACATCAAAAGAACAAACAGAAGATAATTTTCCCTCGTTTCTCCCTGAGACTGCGTCGGGAAATCACCTCTCCTTACTGGCTTGCCGCAACATGCCCAAAAAAATAGCTAAATATCCCCTTTTTCTGACGGTTTCTGTTAGAACTCTACTTGTTTCCTCTCTCTGATTTTTTTATTTCATACAAAAGAAAAATAATTGCTTTTTGCCATCATTTCTTTGCGTTAATATGTTGACCCCGAAGACAAAAATACCAAAAAATTGTGCTGAACCTGCGATTGACTTTAAAAAACGCGTTGCATTTCTTTCCCAGAGGCCTCGCTTGTGGACGCAGTGGAGTTAGAACAGCGCCAAAATGAGGACGGAGAATCTACAATTAAAAAGAGTAAGCTAGTGCGAGGTTTGAAGAAAAGAGTAAGAGAGCTGGAAGACAAAGTAATGGAATACGAACAAGCGCAACAGCCCAAAGGAGACAATGTACCAGTGATAAATGTGGAAAAAACATCTGAACAAAAATCACCTAGTGAAGATCAGATTGTTGAATCAGAAAAATATCAGCAAGTAGTAAAGGAAAAAGAGGATTTAGAGAAGGAAAAAATAAATCTAGTCGGGGAAGGCAAAAAAATGAGATCAGAGCTTGAGCTTCTAAGAAAACTTGTCAGTCAGAGGAATATTGATAAGGAAGCGGAATGGGATATGATTAATGAAAAAATGAAAGAGATTAGCGTTGATCGTGACCAGTTAGAAAATGAGAGGAATCATTTAAGACAAGAGCTTATTCGAATGGCATCCGTGGCTAAAGACTTGCACAATGTCGAGGAGTTGCTTCGAACCAATCCGGATGAAAGCGCTTACGTGCTACAAGCTGAAAGTTTGAAGAAAGCGAACAATGTTCTGCAGACTGAACTGCACGATTTGATCAAGAAAGAACAGGACTTGAAGAAAGCAAACGATAAACTGTGGATGGAAAAGGCTCAGTTACAGAGGGTAAGTCACGGTGCCGGTCCAACTGCCTAGATGACGGTTTTAATTGCGGGGTGGGGCGAACGATACTCCCTATAGGGGCTATACTGAGAGGATCTGCTTGAAATGGGTGTCCTTTCTGTCACAAAAATGGTATATGAAAGGATGAGGGGCTGGACCCCGGGGCGGAACCTCCCCATTTAAAAATTTTTCGTTTAAAAAGAACTGTGCTGCTGAGTCGGTGGGGATAGAAATGAAGCGGTTTGGTTTTATCAATTAAACTTAGCTGATCAAGTAGATTAGCACTCTCTCCTAAGAGATTAAAACGTCCATTGTCTTCGCGGTGTTCACCGTATATTCTCGCACCTAATCCGCGCTCAAAATATCCAGCCATCAAATTGTCCTTGTCTGTAATTGTAGATTTTTGCCGTCTCGGCTTTTCCGTATACGGATTCACCTAATTATGTGGTAAATTTTACAAGATTAAACTCACCGTTAGTTGTTGTATTGTAGGGACAAGGCCAGTCAATTTCGAATATGGATGGCAACTTTGCCATGGAGGTTTCTCGATTGGTAACAGAGAATGTGGTAAGGGAAAATTATTTGGTTGAACTTTTTAACGTAGAGATTTGTGAAGCTGTCGGCTCAGCATTCTAGTTAAAGCTTTTTAAGTTACTAATTTCCTAGGTCGTTTTACTGTTCGAGTTGGGAATTTGATCTAACAGTCAATGCTGTAGTCTCCCCAGCATCCGGTTTTGTCTCGTCACGCAACTTTCCTCCGGGGAGGAGTGTTTCGTGACGGGACAAAAACGGCTGCGAGGGAGTCTATTAGTGATGAGAGATCTAGTTTGATAAAGCATAACAATGATGTTGACATTTTCAGGAGCTGAGAGAGCAGGTTGAAAAACTTGAAGCTGAACTAGAGGAATACAAGAAAGGTGGAATGGCGTTGACGCCAGTCCGAGGAAGAACCCAGTCGTACAATAAAGGCAAGTTGTTCAGTTTCTCATTATTGGGCTGCCTGTGGCACGCGCAGTTATAAAATGAGCTTTCTCTGTCGAAAAAAGGCAACATGGCAGATGGATCACCCAGAAGGCGTTGCGTGTCCTATCCCCCCCTGTGGGGCCTCTTATTTGACTTTTGGCGGGAGGGGAAAAAAATTGGCAGACTTGTAACGAAAATGACGTTATTGCGTGAAGTTATTTTTTGTATAATTACAGTTGAAAGAAAAATCGGGGCGAGATTTTTGGATTCAGTACCATGCAATAAAGGTCAAAGGAAGTGTTTTTTAGAGTTTAGTCCATTATTCTTTTTCCGGAATACGGTCAAGCGAACGCGCACTAATTGATCTCCAAATGCACCTTTATTTCTCTGCGTGTCTATTTCACGGGATAGGATTAGCTAGGACCAGCTATACATCCAGTATAGAAAACGTTAGACCACTACAGCCAATATCGCCCGTTGAAAGTGTCTTGTTTTACCTGGAAGGTGCTAACCGATACTGGGGTCTGATAGCGTGATCAAACAGGAAAAAAGGGACAATGAAAAAAACTACTTTTAAGATAAGGGTTTTAGTTTCACTGTTTAAAGTCATTACCCTGGGCTTAGTTCCTCGAAATCGAAGGCCGGGTAACGCTTACCCAGTGTTAGAATTTAAGACCAACATTGGATTCACTTTCTTGTAGACTGTTGACGGTTGTCATTTCGGGTCAGCATAACCGGGTTTCGACTCGACAGTGTTTTATCACCCCTTTTTGTGTATTACTTTACGTCACTGTTCGATTGTCTCAAGAATATTAAGATTCTTTGTGCTGTGGACTGACGTTATGTGTTTCCTGTGGACATTTTTCTCGCTTTTTTAGGAGAGCTTGAGCAGAAGAGAAGAGCTCAAAGCTTCTTATCTGGCCAAGAACCAAAAGCTGGAAAATTGGTAAGACATAAAGTTAGTACAGACAAAGCGACACGAGTCTCTTCGGTAGCTTTGGAGGTGTATAGTGATAAAGTGAAATTTGAATAATAGTTGGTGGGCCTTCGTATTGAGTAGGGGTTGTAGACCCCACTGGTCTGGACAACCTTTCATGGCCTGGCGTGATAATGATGGGGTTAATGCCAGTCAGGATTCAAGTCCTGTTTCATCCCTTGTCACGGTGGCAAGTTTCAATAAAAGACTAAAAAAAGGGCGTTAGAGTTGTATAGACTGAGCTATGGAAGTCTATATAATCTATGACCACTTACTTTCCTACTTTGACTAACTCCTTTAGATTCTTCCTCTTTTACAGCTTTTTGCCTCATGTCGACCATTACATTCTCTCCTGAACAATTCATTTCTTTTTAGATAGTTGTTGTTATATGTGGCATCATTGGGCAATAATGGAACAAGGTTGTGGCATTTCATTACTGAGAATAAAGACGCTATAGTGGAGTTTTGTGTGTTTTTTCCTTGTCAGGTTATGAGGCACGCTGGACTACTTAGAAAGGCATCTCATGCTCACAAAGAAGGGGTAAGTTTCGGATCATTATACATCTCTGAGAACCTACCCCTTCCCTAAGCCAACGTTTTGCCCTAAGTGAGAAGTAGGTGTTAATGTTGGCTTAGGGGAGGGGTAGGTGGGCAGTTTCCCCAGAGACGTATTTAAGAAACGGTCCAGATAAGAACGATAGCAACAACGGCAACGAACATGTTGGAATGCAAAAAAGGTGTAACTTTTCTATTGTCTGTACTTACTTCTGATTGGCTTAAACAGCAAAAGTTAACAAAACTTCATAAAGCGGTATATATATTCATCCTTACTTTCCAACCATCTTCCATATAACAAAATCTAGTCTCGGTTTGAATAACAAAGAAATCCTATGTGGGGAACATGTAAAATTGTAAACTTTGCTTGGCTATTGTTTTCAACTCTTGTGATTGGTCAAAATCTTTTAACACAAAAAAACACCCTTTCAAAGTGGAGTGTAAATGCATTTTATTGCGGTAAAGGGCCTTCATGTAGGTTTATGCATTCTCTATGTAAAAATGAGAACATTTCTATGTGGGGAAGGCACCGTTGCCGCAGAACAAAAGAAATTGCTATCCACCTTACCCGAATCATCACTTAATGATCCTACGTTTCTTTTATTTACTTCCACCGATCCCTCTTTGGTTTCTAATTTCAATTACAAATCCCTGGCCTTTCTTTATATTATCATTCCATCAAGAGTGATGAGAGGAATCGAAATATAAATTGCTTGGGAAAATTCTTTACCAAGAAAAATTATAGATTCGTAGTAATAAAAAATATATATGAAGAGTTAAATAAAGAAAAAGAACGCGAATGTATAAGCGTACTGTTGCTTTCTCAGTACACATAGCAAAAGTCAGGACTGACCCGGATGGACCGCTCATTTTGAAAATGAAATACTGGCTTTTTTTGAGTTTTCGCTAAAAACCTATCACCTGCTGTGCGTGATTATTTAGGACTAGTCTAACCTTGCCATAGACATCCCTGATTAGTAGTGGGAAGTCTAGTTACGACTGAAATGGTCTGGCTTATGGTAAGCGCCTTTCCATTATTCTTCTCACTTTTTCCATAAATTAAAACTAAGCTGACAATCAAGATCGACTGACTGTTAGTTAGCGATACTCAATGTTGTTGAACTGTAGTTTAAGCAAAAGCGGCCTAAACAGTCTTAATTTGTCATGCCTATAATGAAACGGACGTTAGTATTTTTTGTCAACACGAAAGTACTCGAGCAAAGAAACCGCTCAATTCAAAACTGATGTTCGTCTCTCGTAGGATTTGCTTCCTCTTCCGCCGCAGCTAAGACAACAAAAGATCCGTGGTATGATTGAGTTTACAAGCGAAGAGGAAGATAAAGTTATCAAGCATCTTATCACTGACATGAACCCTCAGTCGATGGCGGACGCTATCCCAGGTCTTCCTGCGCATATTTTGTTCATGTGCATAAGGCATGCTGATCACGTGAATGATGACCGCCGCATGCAGAGTCTTCTGAGCAACAGTATTAATAGCATCAGAAAAGTTGTCAAGGTAACGTTAACGAACACATCGGTCAAACACACTGGACATGCGCAGTTGCCTTTGAAAAGCCTGTGACGAATTTGTTCACAAAAACTGAAAATCTAAGGTCGTGTCTGAAACTGTTTTTCGTTGTTTCTTGCTAGAAAATTATTAGTTCCAAGTGAGGAAAGTTGCTAAATTTCTAGTCCCGTAGGTTCGATTCTGAAACGTTTCGTGCTCTCTGTCCCCCTGTGAGGTCGAAGCGTATTCTAGATTGTTTTCAGTAAATCTTTTCCTTTTCCAACAGAAAAATCCCAGTAACCTGGACATTTTGGCCTTCTGGTTGGCCAACACCTCTCGGCTTCTCCATGACATGAAACAATACAGTGGTGACCGGGTAAGAAGACACTTTACTGTAGCTTACTTGATGCCTTGCCTGACACATGCCACCTTTTTATACATGTAATTGCCTCTACAACCGCTGTGTGCTATTAATAGGTGTAGGCTTTGTTGTCATCGAAAGTCATAACCCCAGCCTAGTTTGTTATGATACCAGCAGGTCATATTTTATGAATCAACTGGTGCCCGCGTTGAAAACGTACAAGTTTTTGTAAGTCAGGAAAATCGCTTTTACACTTCTCACCGCAGTAAAATTTAACCAAAGCGAGAAAGAAGTGGGGCAACAGTTTTTAATGGCAACATTTAACGCGAACGAAAACACAAGAAATGCTTACAAAGGTATAATTGTGAAAGAATGTTATTTACGCATTTCCATATACCAACTATTTTTTGACAGTGTTTGATCATTAGGGTGTTTAAGGAAGGTTTCTTTAAGTACTTGGCCTTTTGGCTCACGTTATTTCACCTAAATACTGTTCTTATTCATTCTTTCATTCTCATTCACTTCCATCCTTCCTTCTTTCCTCACTTATCTGATAATTGTTCAGTGGCTAATAAGACGGCCTGATGAAGAAGGACTCTCAGCTTCACTCATTAAACACTGGACTAGTATGAAGGATTACATCAAAGATGTTAGTGCTGTCTCACTTAACTTTTAATCTTCTTGTAGTGTTTTCCTGTTGCCACCAAACCCAAAGTCAGGCGTTTCTTTTTTTTTCCTTTTTACATTTTATGGATTTTGCTTTCAGCACTTCATTTTTCTCCCGCTCATTTTCTTTGGCCTATCTCTCCTTTGTTTGTTTGTTTGTTTGTTTTTGCTTTTTTCCTTTCACTCATTTTTCTGGATACTTTATGCTCAACCATTCATTGTCCGTACGTATTTATGTTTTTCATCGATCACTAAGCTGCATCATATAACATAATTTTATTCATGTATTTATTTATTTATTTACACTATGCTATTTACGCCTCATTGTCTAAGAAAATGGGTTTTCTTGTCTTAATTTGCTTTTTAAAACCTCTTTTCTGTGAGCACGAGGTTGAAATTGCCTTGGGTATATTTAAGAGGAAATGCGATAGTTTTATTCATTCCTGCATGCTGAATAATGTTTTATGTACTGTACGTTTTTGTGCTTTGTGCTTTAATTGCATCAAAGTATCAGTGTACCTTATAAATAGGTAATTCTCGTGCATATTTCACAGTAAAAGGTAGTTCTACGATTCACAGTCCAAAAAATAAATGATGATATCGCTGAAAATTTGGAAATTGTACAGTAAACGTTCTATCACTTGCATGCTTATTGTCCCGAAAAAGTACTTATAGCACTATGTTCTAGAGCTTTTTTGCTCTCATTGCACCTCCCCCACCCCTTTCCTCTGTGTAAGTACCGGAACTTACAGTGAACTGACGCATTTTACTCCGTTGTTGTTTTGGCCTGATACGTCTTGGCTATAACTGATTCTTGTTCATATTTGGCATTTTAGGCGTTTCAAGTTCATAACACTCCGGAACAGAACGAGCAATGTTTGAAAAACTTTGACCTGACGGAGTACAGACAGGTGCTTAGTGACCTGGCCATACACATCTACCAGGACTTAGTAAAGTGCATTTGGGAAGCAGTTCAACAAATGATAGGTAAAACAGTATGTTTGCTGCTTTCCCACTGATGTCAGCGCTTTGGTGAGCTTCCTGCAATGTTTTGGAGGATATCATATCTTCTGTTTGAGGGCAGGGAGGGCTAGTGTACCAGTAGTATAGGGCGCACCGAATTATCCTTTTTTGCGCAGGGATATCGTGCTGACTAATTAACAATTATTCCTCGAGCCCGAGTGGGCTCTGAGTCAATAGCCCACGAGGCCGAAGGCCGAATGGGCTATTGACTCAGAGGCCATGAGGGCGAAAACATCGAGAATAAAAAAATTTTAGCTAGTTAAAGCTAGACTTTAATCTAGTAGGCTATAACATATAGCCTAGTAGTAGCTCAACCACTCAGAACGCATCATTGATAATAGACCACTAGTTGGATTTTACTAAATAAGAATATGATCCCTTAAACTTACATCATCGCTCGGAAATAACAAGAAAAACTTGTCAAAGCGGTTAAACCCAAACATAGCATGCACATGGTGTTATCGTAATGAGATTTTCCCCCATTTTATCTAGAGATAAGGACAAAGGCTGTGACGTCATAAGGTTAATGTATTTCTGCGTACGTTAATGATATTCCTGTGCAAAAAAGGATAATTCGGTACGCTTCATACTATTTGTACCTGCTTTTTTTACTTTATATGAAGTATATCTTCGATTTACCATTGCCGCGATCAAAACAAAAATAAACATTAAACAAAGACAACGTGATTGCAACTTAATATGCGTGGATTTTACCCAACATTCTAACTTTTGAAACACAAACATGTAAAACTGGAGGGATTTACCTTCTAGAGGGATACAAGTAGCAAGCCTTTGTCTGATTTTCTGAATTCATTTGATCTTGTCGCTTTCTTGTGTTACAGTCCCAGGCATGCTTGAGTATGAATCGATTCCTGGAGTGTCAAGTTCTAAACCATTCGGTGGCCGAACTAAAGCTCATGCTGACATCACGGTCAAGTCTATCACCAAGATGGTTAGTAAATAGTTACACTGCAGTTCACGGGGCAGGGTACGCGGCGTTACAATGACAAAATTAGTTGAGACACTTTGCCCTAAATTACCTCTCTAAGGTTTTTATTTACCAACTTAAAAAAGGGAAAATAAAGCTTTCCATCCCCACCCCTTCCATGCAATCTTCTGCCGCTGTTCGAGCTACCTCTAGAAAACAACAAATACCCCAACTTTGAATGGTGGGGAGGGGGAGGGGGGTTGATTGTTTTGTTCTCTGAACTTACCCCATTTGAGAACAATGTCCCAACAATTTTGTCGCAGATTTTCAGGTTAACTCATGGCTGACTGTGCGTAAGGTACTTGCCACTCTGTGGAGAAATAATAGGGACCTAAAGCAACTACGACGACGACAGCAGTGAAAACATCACTGAAAAATGAATTTGCGTCCTTTCAAACTTTATCGCGTCTATTTGGAACCGCTCAATTCGTCAAATGAAGGCGACTTTTCCTGGAGTTGAATTCGCATGTCCACGTCCTCCATATAACGTCGCATTGGGAGGTTTCACGTCGAAGTCGTGCAGTGGACGTCAAAGAAATGTGCTAAAAAGCGTGATGCACGTGAAGAGCTGTTGTTTTGGTTGAGGCTGTTGTTGTCGCAGTCGTCGTAGTTACTTAAGGCCTAGGTCCCTAATACCAGAGAGAACGTGACTTAAAACCAATACCAAATTAATTATTCTAGCCAATCATATGACTGACAAATCCCGCTTGTAAATTAGTGAATATTTTGATGTAAATACATGTGGCAAGTGTCAAGCGCAGAAAAACAGGTGTAAGCCCGGTCACAGCTGTTATTGATTTTAATTCCTAGTGGCCGAGAAAGTTGCACGAGGTTTCTCAGCCAATTTTAGCGTGTAGTTGTACAAACCAACACAACCGCATGGATAACTTCTTTCGACACCTAATTAGGAAAACTCCGCGGGTTAGTATGAACCGGTTTTGAACGAAAATTGTAATTTACGTACGAGGGAAACAATAAGTGATAACTTGTTGGTACCCTGCATTTATGGTGACTGTTTCTTCTGTCGTATTTTCATTACAAACGTTTTATTTCAGTTGTCAAATTTCCTTGCCATACTCAATGCTCACTGTGTTGATCCAGAGATCATCAAGCAGGTATTCCGCCAGGTATGTTCCATAACTCGTACTTCCTCGCTTGTCCTTTTGATCATGTGCTCGTCGTATTTGTGTGTGAGAGAAAGGTTCATTTTATCGCATGCAGCGTTGCTACGATTAAACCTGCGATACTCACAAGTCATTGGTAGATCTTAGGTGTGTTTTACACAATAATCTCTTGTCGTAGGTAAGCACATCGCATGTGTGAATCATGTTGATAGGCCCTATCACCTTACCGTCTTCTCCTTAATACAAGAGACTATATGCTAACGTAAAAGTAACTTGGGTTTGTTGTCATGGTAACCGCCATGGCGGAAGACGCAAGACTCTTTTTCCAGTTTATAGAGCTGCTTAAGTAAAGAAATCAAGTTGCAAACTGAGTCATAGATTTCTTTTCACCCTGGCAAATGTTTTTCCGTTGAGGCAGGAGGGAGGAGAAAAAGTTGTTAATAATAACCTTGGACCTGCTTGAACGACTAACTGTGTTTGTTTTATTCATGGCGCAGCTTTTTTACTACATTGGAGCTAACATGATGAACAATCTGCTGCTTAGAAAAGACATGTGTCACTGGTCCCGCGGAATGCAGATCAGGTTAGTTTACTGTTACACACACTTTGGTTTTTTACCATTTATACGTGGCAAACCGGTCGATTTACGGTTTGGGTAAACGGTAGCAAAATTCGCGTATACTGTTTGAACAAATCAGTTCCATTGACCGAAAAACGGCTGCAAAGATGCTTTGAAGAAATGGACAATGAATTTCCGTTTTGAACATTCCCTCTGGGAAGACAGGACTACCTTTTCATATGTTCCGCTGCTCCCGGAAATTTCTGTGGGGACCACCCAAAACGTTGTGTGCGATTTAATTTCCAACCTGATTCTCCGGAAATCTTTGTAAATGGTAAACAACCATTGCCCTCTTGTAATTCCTAATTCGACCAACAACGAAAAAAAACTGACTTTAGAGGAGTGTTAACACAATTACTGGTAAACCAGTAGTTTTAGCAATCCCAACTGGTTGAAGGCAAACCAGTCGGCTATTTACAAGCGTGAACAAATCCAGTTAGCGGTTTGGGCGGGGATTGAACTAGGGGCCCGGGATTACAATTTCAGCGTTGTAACGGCACGGCCATACTGCCCTCAGTGGAAGAGCACAAAAAGTGTCTTCCATCGTACAAAATTACTTTCATACGGAAGTGCTCTGAGAAAAGGAGGCTTAAACTAAGAATGCATTTATTTTTGTTAATCTCCGAACCAGATTCAACCTGAGCCAGCTAGAGGACTGGGTCCGTATAAATCAGCTGGAGGGCAGCGGTATCGTGGAAGCCCTAGAGAATGTCATACAAGCGACACAACTGCTCCAGGTCAATAAGAAGACTCTAGAAGACGTAGATGCTATCTGTGAAGTGTGCAGCTCTCTTAATACTTTGCAGGTATGATATTGAACTATTCTTCTCAAACTCATTAATAATTCATAAAGAAAATTCAAAGGAAATTAATGTTTAATGAGTGTTTGGATATCTGATGAAAAACTGCTCATTTTTGCATCCTTAATTTCTCCTTCAAAAATGATTTTGTTTGAGAAGAAATATCAAACATTCGACACAGTGTTTCATCACCAGATGAAACACCTCGAAGTTGGTCAAAAATACTCCGCTGCGCGTCGTATTTTCAACTCTCTTCTCGGTGTTTCATCTGGTGATGAAACACTGCATCTCATGTTTGATATATTACGTAAGAGCCCAGAACTCGGCGTGAGCACCTCTATCCATGTATTTCTGGCACGGCTTTTTCACAGGACCAGTTTAATATTAAATCGATTTTGGTTATCAATCACGTACGTCCCACAAATAAGTTAGCAATACCTACAACCTGAAAATAGTATTCTGGGCCGAGTTGTTCAAAGCCGGGTTAAGATAACCCAGGGTTAGTGCGAGATTTGAATTCAAATTTGAAAGCTTAAAAAGAATTTCAGTTTTAATTCTGTTTGTCTACAATTTGATGATTGAAATCTCTAAATATAATAGAGAAAGAGAAATTATCCGGGAAAATGCTTTTGAAGACAAGAAGGAGAAACCCGGGTTAAATTTAATCCCGGGTTAAGCGCTAATCGGCCTTCGAACAACTGGGCCCAGGGCCGTTTGGATGACGTTAAGTTTTCTTTGTTTCACACTTCGGATGTACGACTAGTCTATGAAAAAGCCATGACATAGTCCTCAGTAGTATTGGAGGTGATCGCTGAGATCATTATTTCCGTGATCCCTACAACTTTTCTACACAGCTAGGTCAATATTAAGTAATAATTGTTCTGATGAAACACTGCAGACTATAAGGCTATTGTACACAGCCAGGACCCACGACTACACGAAAAAAACCGATGGTGTCTCTATGTACCGGTCCCTTCATAATAGATGGTTTCTCTGTGCTATGGTTTATCTCACAAGGTTACGTGCGGGACAAAAAATTGGGGACTTTTCCGTTGTTTGCTCGGTGTTGTTGCTGTATTTCCGTTAGTATGAGGTATTGATGAAAAATATCCCCAAGAGTTTTGTCTCTTTTTTCCCATTTTTTAGGTTCAGAAAATTTTGTCCATGTACACTCCCGCTAATGAATACGAAGCCCGAGTTCCATCCTCCGTGATCCGTGCCGTGGTGGATCGAGGACATAATAAGACCGAGCCAATGTACCTTATGAATGACACGGCTTATATGTATCCATTCACACTGCCGTTCACTCCTTCTGCGGTGTCACTGGAATCTCTCACCATACCTGAACATCTCAATCTTGATTTCCTGAAGGTGGTTTAACGACATGGGTTGGGTATGTGTCATTTATCTGTGCTGTCGAGGAATCATTTCCGGCCGCGCAGAAACGAAGCAGTCTTGATTTTCGTTGAACCGTCAACAAGGATCGGAGCTAAGTGAATAATCCAAGTAACGAGCTAATATGAATTATCCAAGAGTGAATGATGGAGCCGCTTAAGGTCGTTCTACATTTTGAGCCTGTAGACGAAATTTTGCGGTGTGACTATTCAAATGGAACCTCTACCCTCTGCCAGTGTTTTCAGGTGGTGGAATGTGTTTTTCAAGATTTTACTTAATGAAATGTGGGAATGTTGAAATTTTGTCAAATTTTAAATTGCACCATTTTTGAAAGTGAGAGGGTTAAACTATCATACAGTAAAATCTTAAGTCATCAACAGTAGTGTGAAATGGGCCCATAGCTTCTACTGGAATGGCGTCCTTTGCGAATTTCATCTATACACTCAAAACTTTCAAATTGTTTAATACAAACATAGTTTGACAGCAAAGTACTAACGTATGCTGTTATTGGAAAGGCCCTCTAAACTTGGGGATTCCACCTAGGAGAAACGTACTTTGATTCCAGCAAGACTGTTAAAGTGCTCACAAGTAGCTCAGTCAGTATGAGTGAAATCAGTCCCAAGTTGATCCAAGATTAAGATGAAAACCTAAATAAGCTTCCGACTCAGGGGAGTGCAAAACTCCCTCCCTTCTTCCTCTCCCTCTAAGGCTTGATCTTATGCTCAGCATTCTTGGTTATCGGAGGGAGTATTTTTGGTTAAATTTGACAAATCTAACATCAGCTTAATGACAGATGAAGTTCGATTTCCTCTCGCAGTGTGGTAAATTATTATTTTTTGTTGGTTCTTACAAAACAGCCTGCTGTTTTACTTCAAAGTGACACAAATACCGCGAAATTATACTCAGTACTTTTGTTGAAAATTCGTTGTGAGGTAGCAGACGAAAAAGAAACCGAGAAATGAAAAAGGTTTGCTAACCTACAGTGAAGGTTTTCTTGTTTATTAAACAAGTAAATACTAAAATTTCATCATTATTCATCCTAGTTCAGGGTGATAACTATTGCATAGGTTAACTAATGCTCGGCTAGGAGATTTTGCAATGCTATAGTAAACTCTGTCAGAACGTTCATATGGGTCGGCATCGGCGAAAAAGTATATCATGTAAGAGAAATAACTAATGTTACAATTAGGATCGTCAAGTATTTAGCGAAATGTTGCTAGGTACCACTGTAATGCGTAATAGGACAGTTTTCTTACGACCTTAAAATGATAACGGGTTAACACAGCCAACGTGAACGATTTGAAAGCAATCAAATTGGTTGGTTGTAATTTGAATTAGCAAAGGAAGCCGACAACGCTCACTGCTGTGATGTCACATCTACTCTCGTTCTGATTGGATGATTCTTTGGACCTCTGACCAACAAAACATTGAAAAAGCAAGAATTTTTTTTAAGATCAGAAGAAAATTGCCCGAGCTTTAGAATTAAATAATATTAAAGTATCCTAGTGTCATAATTTCCTAGGAGTCAAGTGTATTTACATGTTAAGTAAGTCATAATAATATAAGTGATAATGATATCAGGAATGAAGACAGATAGTAATCTTGGTCTTATTTTCGAGAACAGTACACGAAAAATAGTGTGAGGATATATTTACTGGCACGTTGTTAACTCTGATGTAAATTTTTGAACTCAAACACATTCGCCAACCCCGGCCGCCAGGTAGTTCAACATACGCTAAATTTCAGTGGTTTTTTTTTTCTATGTGTGTGATCAGTGGTATCGTCCCTGATTAGTAAAGAAATAATTTGCATTCACAGACACTCATTTAAACTATGACTTGATTTGTGTTCGTCGCATTTTAAAGATATGCCCTTTAGAAGGGTACATACGTACATAGGGTTGATTTCGTTTTTGTGATCAGTGAAAATGCAGAGCAAACGTTATTTTTTTCAATTTTACATTTCTCCTTTGATAAAAGTTGTTTTCGATCATACATTTTGTACAATGATTATCTTCTTTTGTACTTTCGTTTATTGACCATAGGTGCTCTTTTGATGTGTTCGATTATTGACTGTCAGAATTTGAATGAACAATATAGATTATAGGTTATAATCGCAATGGCGAGAGTAATGCTTTGGCAGGTTTCACTTTTACTTTAATGCTCCGGAAGATTTGAAATTTGACTGCTTAATGTCGTCCTGCCGCGGCGATTCTGCCTTGTAGCTGCAAAATGACAAGTACAGTGTTGCGTTAGTTATACTTTTACATGAGAAATTTCTGCAATTTGATTGGCTTAGAGCAGTGGTATTTCAGCTTAATTTGAAATACCCACTTGAGAAAATTACAAACCTTTTGCGGGTTGTAGTATAAACAAATAATAGCATGATTTGTACGTGCTATTTGGCATAAAAACCACTCGTGATATTTCAAAATTGTCTCAAATTTCACTCGCCTAAAGGCTCGTGAAATTACGCATAACAATTTCGAAATATCACTAGTGGTATTTATGCCAAATATCACTACAAATCATGCTATTACCGATACAAGTCTTTGTAATGAATCTTGATTCCCGCCTTGGCTAACTTGTTTTCGGATTTCATTGTGAAAGAGCCGTCAATGTCCACTTAAGAAACGAGGAGACTGGAGACGAATTGTGTCCCGCAATTGTTTCTGGGACAGTTACTGAGGATGGTAACAGTCCCGGAAGTCGTTGCGAGTTAACTCGTCCCAGTTTCCTTTTGGTTTCTTAAGTGGTGAATTAGCCCGGATGGCAAATCAGCTGAAGGTTCAGGACTGGGCAGCACGTTCTTGCCGTAGGAATTCCACAACCAAGGAGTTCTTGGTTATTACGTATTTAAGTGACCTGACAGGATCTCATTAGAGTTCGTCAATTGAAGAAATCAACACCAAGGGTTTGTTTCTGTAGACTCTCGCCATCGTAGACAACAAATTGCAATGAAGCTTCCTTACTGGAGTAACCTGCTGTTACATATATCGGCCCATGACAGCCTTAGATCCTGAATTCCACGCTGTAGATTCCGTATTCCAGGTACACAATTCCAGATACTTTGTCACTGCAACTTGGATTCCGGATTCCAAAGCCCAGGATTCCAGATTCCACTACTACAAATTTCCTGGATTCCGGATTCCCCAAGCAAAACTTGCCCGGATTCCTTATTATCCGTATTACCTTAAATGGGAAGACAAATAGTACGCTATTTTTTTTAACTTGCCAGTAGGGTGAAATGAGCAGCGTCTTGCGCCTCTTATAGTATTCTGATAGGTTAATATTAAAGGTCAATTATCTAAGTAAATGATAACAATGAAATAGCTAGTGTCAGTAAGGGAGAATTTTTAGGATAATTTGCAGAATGAGCCTTTATGGCGTATGAATTGCGTACAGCGTAATTACAGCATTAATGAATTATTTAACGATGATGATTCATCATGATAATATCGTAACAAATAAATATATTTTCATAGAACTTTCGTTGTCTGTGGTTTATGCAAGAACTTTGCTAATCCGACCATCCCGTTATTAAGGTCAATGATCATTTATCCTCAAATGTTAGTTTCTTCAAAATTGTACTTATTTATTACGATCAGTGAAATTACTGGTGAGAACATGTAAAGCAATCACTCTCACAAACGGAGAAGCTCTTTCTTTCTTAAAAGTCGATCAAAATGTATACTGATTAGGCTCGATTTCCATCGTCTTCACACCTTCTGGTGATCAAGTCTACGTACACGCTTTCCAACAAATTTGGTGGTGAAATTTATTTTTTTTCTTTTGTTTGTAACCACAAACAGTCGAACGTTCCTAATATACGCGAATCAAGCCAATCCGAGAAGAGCGGATCCGGAGACATTTACTTTTTGGACGCAAATTTTGGGCAATTTCTACGTTGCGATATTTGAAGGTCCATTTTTTCACTAAACGTTCTTGGTCGCTGGCAAAAAGTCAAACCTAAAGGTGCTCAGGGTCGCATACGAGGGTTATTGGGTTTACGACAGACTCATGACTCAGACTAATGTAAGGGACTTTGACTTGGAAAAGATGATTGCTTACGAGAGATGATCGGACATGGTAGCCTCCCACGCATGCCTTCTTTAGGCTCGTCGTGCAATCCTCCCCAAACCCTTCCCTTACGTGGGGAGGGAACGCGTGACGAAGCCCAAAGAACCTCTGCGTTGGTGGCTACGCAACAAGGAAGGTTCGGCTGTAACCGAGAAAAGCTTGATGTCATAGTGTTTTACTATCCCATTGATTCGACTAGATTTTCGTGGCCCAACCATGGTTATATTGCAAGAATGACGGTGATACAGTGAAATCCAGATGCTTTAACCACTTTGGGAAAAGCAGATTATGGTTCAAATTATTGCGGGTCCCTAATAGGGTTTTTCCATCCCGTAATCCCGACCCAAAATGTCGGGCAATCGTGTAATCCCGCGTGTTATTTTGGCACCCCGCCTTCCGCGCATACTTTCAATCCCGAATCTCGCCCCGATTTCGTTTTAAAATCCCGAATCCCGAGCGTCAAATAAGGGAAATCACGCATCCCGAAAAACTTATTGAAGACCCTCATTATTGGGAGGTTTCAAAAATCGAAGGTAAAATTACGGGGCCATATATTTAAACGTTGTTTAGCCATTTTCAATTTGCCCAACGATTTTATCTGAACATCATTTATTGTGACCAGTTTTATCAAAACATATAGAGAAGACTAGAAAAGCATTTATCTTCTTAAAACAACTCACCAAAGAAGAGATCTGGAGGTTTAAAGATTCGTTAAACCGCGGTTTAAGTTAGACTTCGTTTAAATATTTGGTCCACAATGTTTGACTGGTGATGGGAATTTAGGTTCGAATTATCGCAAATTTCGAAAAACAGAGCGTTCGAGAAATTGGGATGTCAGAACCCTTATGATTCACTGTATATAATAATATTTATTTGTTTATTTATATATATTCACCATGTATCTAAGTCCAAATTCAAAGCTGAATATATAGGACAGAACCCTTTTACTCTGAAAATCAGTTATTAAGACACAGAATACAGGTTTGGACTAGATTCCAATGAAACCTCATGCTAAATAAAATTGGGATGTTTGGCTGAATCGGGAGTGAATGAAAGGGTTGCCTTCCATTTGGTCAAATCGACCGATCAGAAACCACTTTGTGGAACTAACCAAGAAACAAATGGAACAGAAATTTTCGATTGAAACGGCAAGTTCCAACTGGATCAAAGTTTTCCCCAGTTTACGTTTCGACAGAAAATTTGAAAACCTCTCAGAAAAGTGGAACTGCAAACGAAAATTTTTGAATTTAAGTCGCTTTAAAGCTAACAAATGTGAATACGGAATCTAAAAATAAATGGATTAGGAAACACAAAGTCTTCACTGCACTGGCAGCATCCTTTAAAAACCTTGAATAAGTTCTTTTATCATTGTTTCACTGTCACGAGTTATATCTCAATGGTTGAACAGGCTGGTCATTTCTTGTACTTACAATGTGAAAATTTGAAGCACAAGTACAACTGTAATGTAAGAAGAAAGAGAAAAAATGCTGGCCTTTGAACCTACGACGTCACTGACTTCGCCTTCGCCTGGAATCCCTGCGTTACAGTAGTCTTCACAGCAACAATGTATTTCACACGTGGTGTAATGCGTATGACAGGTGTCTGGGTCACAGTGAGAGCGTTCTCCGCAACTCTTCCGGTAGGAAACACTCCCGGTTATGTTCAGGACTTGCGTCAAACACACCCAGTCACCTTTCCCACAGTTATGCATTGTGAGGTCCTTCTCGCAACCTGCCCACGATGAAGAGGAATGACAGGCAAAGCAGTGGATGCTAAGGGCTACAGTGGATGACAAATACAAACACATTGCTATATAATACATGAACAATGTTTCAAACCAGTTGCACTTGGCAAACAAATAAACTCGTTCACGGTTAAATGTCTAAGGCCCGGTTCAGACGCCGAACTTTTCATGAGCCGAACTTAATTCGAATTAAGGCCGACCCAAATTATTATGACCGGCTGAATTGATTCAGACGCCGATCTAAACTGCAAGTGAACTAATTTCAAAACGCGAAAAATGCCCATTTCTACATTGCGGTCAAACTGCTTACAAAATACGTTATAATAATTTATGCATTAGGTTCGGTAGGTGAAAAGTTCGTCGTCTGAATCAAAGCCGTTCCAAAGTCGCTCCAAAGGCGAAATTCCCGGCCGGGCTAGGCGAAAAGAACGGCTAAGCCGTTCCAAATTGAAACAGGCGTTTCTTTCAGGGCGTCGATAAAACCAGGAACATGGAACATTCCGGCACATTCCGCAACATTCCGGAACATGAAAAATAAAAGTAATTTTCATTAAAAAAATATTAATTAAATAAAATGATAATAATAACATAGTTTTTGTAAAAATTAATAATAACAAAATAACATAAAATAAAAAAAAAAAACGAAAAATAAAGAAATGATTAAGAAAAAGAAACTCATCTCCGAGTGTGAGAAAACAATATTTTGTCGCAAATAATTTGTTGGGCGAGTGAGGGTCCATGCAAATGACAGTAATGAGTGAAGGCTTGCTTCTAAATTCAAAATATATTAAAATGGGTCGCGAGGAGGGGGGTTTTCAAGCTTTACTCACACAGCTACCTCTTGTAATGTTTGCCATGAGTTAATCATTTGG